AGAAAAAAAAAAAGGAGTAAAGCAGCTCCTAGCTGCTTTTCCCTTCTCCAGCCCCAGTCAGAGGGGGGGCTGCAGCCCCCTCAGCAGCTGAGGCAGCAGAGAGATAATTTTTGGTTTTGGTAACTTTAATAAGGGAAAATTGTTTATATAGTGTGGGTTGGGTTTTAGGCCAGCAAGCACCAGGTGCTGGGTGCACATGGGCAATTGGGTGCCTTCACACACGTTATAGTCAGATTTAGAGAAGAAGGTTATGAATAGTATTGAATTTGATGAGTAAAAAAGGTTGGAACTTTGAATTGTTTGATTATGTTTAGGATCTGATTGTGTTGAAAGCCCTAGCTAGGGGGTTTGTGGTTATGTTTGTCAAGTTGGTATAGCTAATAGCATCTAACTTGTGGAATCCAGCAGCCCCCAGGAGCTGGTTTCTCCTCTGAGGGCGCAGAGCAGCAGGGCCTCTTCCAGATCCAATTGTGCCTTCGAGAAAGGTTGGATTTTTAAGAGCCAGCTTTGTACAGAGAAGTCAATTGAGAATTAGCTGAAGCACTGCTTGGGATGCAGTCAAGGAGCTTTGTTTTCACAATGGTTGTGAAAAATTAGTTGCTGTGACTCTTCTGTATGTTGTGAATTAACCTACGTGGAGCCAGTGACACTTTGTCCCCTGAGGGTTTTAGTGAATATGGGGTTTTATGGCCCTTGGGAAGGCAGTGAGACAGCAGCTGCCAGCCTCAGAAGTCATGGTGGGTGGGTTTAGGTTCTTGGAAGTTTGGCATAAAATTGATAAGTCATGTTACTTTTGGTTTACGTGGTGGTAATTTTGAGTTCACATGGTGGGCTGGGGTCACAAACAGAAGAATGAAACGTGTCTTGAGATTTATGGTTCTTGAGAATCCTCACAAACTCAGAACACTGCCAAATTCCTTGAAAGTATAACTGTTAAAACCAAGGTAAGGAAAATAAAAACAAGATAAGAGAAAAAACAAAAATAGAACAAAACCTTAACTTGATAAAACTATACTTTTGTAACGAGGAGGGGCAATATGACACCCCAAGTAGATATTAACTTGTTAGTATGGGAAGGGGGGTTTGTTTTTATTTTGTCTCCCACAGGACCCTGCTGGCTTCCAGCATTTTTGATGAAACCTTATCATGAGCAGCAAGAATTCTGGACAGAGATCAGTGAATGTTGAGCAGCACCAGACCAACCCGAATATCACATGGAAGAAAATATATCCTAAATATAATTCATTGTGTCTACTAACTTTTACTAACTGGTGTAATGACTCAGTTATTGTGTACCTGTCTCTTGTGTGTCTTATTGTCCACACCTGATGTTGTGATTCGTGTAATGAACAATGCCTTTCCAGTGATCCTTATTTGTCATTTGTGGTTCTCAGTGAGCCTGGCCAGGGGCTGGGAGGATACACCTACCACAGCCATGACTACTCCTGCATTAGCCTATTCAGTGCAGGTCATGGATCTTGAATAACAAAATGGATTGGTTATTCTTTTTCACATAGGAGGTCTCATGTCCTGACAGATCCCTGGATCCACTAATTCCAGAGATAAGAAGGTCTTTATTTCTTAGATGAGTTGCACCCACAATCTGTATGCTTTGTTTTGTATTACTGGTGAGCAACAATCAGAATTGGAGAACTACTCCTGAACTCTGTGCTGCTAAGTTGTTCTGGCAGCAGGGTTAAAGGTAAAAGCTAGAGCTAAGCCCTGGCTTCAGGATGTGAAGGAAATATGTGATGCTGTGTGCAGAGTATCTGCAATTGTGCTTGGTTTTGCCTCCTGGGATGGGGCAGATGTGTCCTGGGATGGGGGAAATGAGACAATGGAAAACTATAGAACTTGTAACATCCTGAGGCCTAATGGTCATCAGTGCATAGAGCAATCCGTTTCTGTGCTGTTCATGTCACACCAGTGATGTTTGTGAAGATCAGGCAGAATAGTGTGGTTTGGGGATTCTAAATCAGACACTGTTTTGCAGTGCTCATATTTGTATGTGTTTTATCCCAGTAGTGTTACAGCAGGTGGCAAAAGTTATTTGGAATCAACAAATGACAAAAACCTTTTGGTTTACCAGTCTACACAAGAATATATGTGATTGTGAAATAACCATGTGTGAGGTGCTGGGCCTCGCAGAAGAAAAGCCTTATGTTGAAAAGCTGTTTGGCAAGACTGCAAATGTTTGTGGACCTCCCTATGGGCTCTGGCTCCCATCATGCTTACAATTTTATTGTGATGAACTAGTAACATTCTAGTTAAGTACAGAAATGATTTCATACACAAGTACTATCACTCCATGAGGTGGAGGGGGATTGACTCCAGTCAGGGGTAAACTGAGGCAGGACAGTTTGCCCCCAGTGAGGCCTGGAATCTGTACAGAGAGTGCAAGCTTTCTGTGAGAGCCGTCGGTGAGACCAGGATGTTTACTGGTGTTGCATCAAACTCCAGATATACATTGCCTGTGATGGCTCCTAATGGGCCCATAAATGTGTGACTGGCAGTCAACTACTTCATACTATAAAAGATGAATCCGAATTATAAAAATTATAATGTTTCTGAAATGCCAAGTGCTGTTGTACTAGACTTTATATTTTGCAGAAATTCCTGAGATTCGTCGCGTTGTCCGGGCCCACACAATCAGACACACCTGTTCATCGGTCCGAACTTGGAAACTAGGTCTGCCAACTGGGAAAAGATTGTCTCAAGTACTGTTAACTTCAAGTAAATGACCACTGTAACCCACTTGGATCTCCTCAATGCCGATGGACATGAATATATTATTGTCTGTACTTTTGCTGTTACTCAGTTCTTATGTTTTGACATTTTTGGAGATGACACTTCATCAATACGCTGTTCAAGTCACTTACCTGTGTCATGGTCCAACCACAGACCACACGGTGCAATGTAGCAGGGTGTGTTTATGCTGATACTTTTGGTCTGTGTTTGGCCCCAGCCACCCGTAGTAGTTTATACTCTCCCTGCCAAGTTCACTGATAAAACAGTGAATTCGTCCTTGGAGGGAGAACTTCTGTATTAACTATTTTAATTGGTGCTCTACTATTGGTTCATTGTCTGCCAAGGGCATTTGGAGGAGAAATCGAAGAGGAGGCGAGGAAGGCTTGACTCCCAACTCAGTCAGAAAAGACCCCCAAAGCGTACTGCGTGTGCGTTAAGGGACTGCCGAAGTTCTCACGTGTGCGCTGAAGGGATGGACTTACATAACCAAGAGGGTGGGATTGGAAACCTCTGGCTGGGCATTGATGACCACTCCTGCCTAGGCTGAGGTCACTCACTTAATTGTATAAAAGCAGACAGTGCTCTCTTGGAAGGGAGCTCGCTTCACTCCAAGGGCACTGTTGCCTTTTGGCAGGGACACCTGCCAGTTTGTGAACTTACTGACTCTCCAAGGATGCAGCTTCTGCTATGGGTAATTATCAGTATGCTGGGTCAGTAAGATAACTTTATGGGCAACAGCTGGGTAACTGGGGAGGTCCTGCTGGGGGCTTATTTCTCTCCTCCTTCCTCCCTTTTGGGTTTGTTCGTTTTGCTGGCCACTTCTTGGTAATAAATATCAGTTTTGCTGAGCTTGCAACGCTGTCATGGTTTTCAAGCTTCAGTACGTTCGAACCTCTCCCTAATACAGTGTGGTACCAGCAGTACTTACAGCTTCTGCCTCGTTACACCAGCCCTGGAATTCCTGCATATTGCACATGGTTTCTGTGTTAATTACACAGAAAAATATATGAAAGCCTACTAATCCTCCTTGTTGGGAGGTAGAGAGTGCAGCACACACAGCAGGACTGAACAGTTTTAATTAGAGGGCAGCGTATCCGGACCAAGTGCTGGAGTTCTCTCTCCTGCATATGGGAGAATTAGAAGTCTAAATGAAGAGGGTAGAAGGCAAAGAGGCTAAAAAGAATGACTTGGGAAATAACAACACTATGAAAACATAAAGGGGAAAACAAATTAAGGGGGGGTGTTTTTTTTTTAGTGGTGTCAGTTGTTATTTTACTTTAATAAAAGAATCGGAGGGAAAAAGCAGCCCATTATTTTGAGGGCAGCCTTTCCTACAGCAGCCCCTGTACTGAGCCCTGTTGTAGGTACTCTTTGAATCACCTGACACACTCTAAATTCCACTTTTTTCTGAGATCCCAGAGGCCCTCCATTCTAGAGGTGGCACATTTGGCCACATAAACAGCACAGGTAGAAGAGCCTGTTTCTAATAAATGTCAAGGTGAGTTGTCAAGATAGGAAACAGTTTCTGCATCAGTAGAACTGTGCCTTCTCTGCTCTAACTTAACTAATAAACCCAGTTTCCAAGGATGCCTTCTCCTTAGCTTTCGCTTAAAACAGGCAAAGCAAGCTGTTTATTCCTAAACCTTTATCTGCCAAGAAATTTTAATTCCCCACTAAAAGCCATATGGTTTGCTTTCTTTCCTTCCCTCTTGATGTCTTTCCCTCTCGGAACATCGCAATAAAGTCCCTTTGTCTCACACAGCCAAAGACCTGCCTCATACTGTTTTTGATGTTCTCTCCCATCCCCATCTCTCTTTATTGCCTGCATGCTACATAAACACAGTACATCCTTAGTAAATGCACAACCTGCTACCTCTTTTCCATCTCACCAACTTCACAGATCTTTCATGCCATTTTTTCATGCTGCTCTGGGCTAGCTTTGCCTTTCTTCATAAGCTTTTAATGTTACTACTTTCTTTTCCACTACATCTGTTTCAGCTTTTGCTTGTACATGGTTTGTTTCTCCACCTGTTAGTAACACTAACTGTAATAGACCAAAGGTCAAATAAGGGTACAGCAGAACCAGAACTACAGCCTAGACTTTAGGATTTTGGGATTGTTTCAGCTTTGCAAAGCTCTACAGAAATGCCTATAGCTAACCCTTCTAGCCACAGAGGGAGGGAGAAAAGACTCCATGGCAGATGGGGATTAGTTAAAAATATTCTCATCCTAAGGAACAAGTGAGACATAAAAACCTTTTGTGTCCGTTATTTTGAAGTAAAATTGTTCTTTACCTTTTCTAAAGATTCCTCTTCATAGCCCCTGCCAGACTTCTCCATCTGCTCATCAGTTGACTCCACTATCACAAGACTAGTTCTCCTTGGAGAGGGGTCATCCTGGTGGAGCTGGGCATCCTCGGGCTCCTGGATGATGGGAGAGTCACCTCTCTGTGCAGAGGACGGGGGCTGTGGGGATGTTTTTTCTGTCTCTCCCTTGGCTGTGCTTCCTGCTTTCCCAGTTACCGGTGCCGTAGACTGCTCTGTTCCCGGAGCTGTGACCCTGTCAATCACAGATCCAAGAAGTTACCACCATGCAGTGCTTCCCAAGTGCCATAAATGGAACACTATGCAGTGAATAAATATTGCTGCGTCACCTGTCGCCTAGAACAACTGGTACTCCTTGACAAGAACTACACAGAAATCTGGCTGGGCATCCCTCTCACCTTCCCAAGCCAATCTCCAAATGAATATCCAAACCTTGCACCCACTTCTGCAAAACTTGGCACTTGTAAAATATTTCAGCGAGCTTCACTGTCACCTGTGCCCTCACAACTCTATATATTACCTACTATTATTTTAGGGAAAGAGATTGGATCGCTATAGATGGATGAGGAGCAACTACTACATTAATTGCAATCTACAAAGCTGCAGGGGAGGAGAGACCAACTTCTATGTAGAATTCCAGAGCCTTACCAAACAGAAACTTTGTAGAGAATCTGGTGTTGATTGTATTTCTATTTTCACGGTTGGACACTGCTATGATTTCACTGCTGTTGCAAGCTATTGAAACCTATTATTACATACATTACTATGCAACATATATATATGAAGGAAGCACATCTAATTCAAGCATATGTACGTGCAATATTGTTGTATAATTCCTCTTAAAACATCTTCTTTACAAGCTATTTAAAACTAGCCCTATTTTCCTCCAATTTTTGGACCTGCAGTGTAGTGATATTCTCCTGCCATCACTCCTCTTGTGTAGTATTGGCAATATTGTCTCATGTGTCTTCTCTATTCCTCAAAAACATTCATTTCTTCAGGCAAACCCTTAGGAAGCATTGGTATTTTTACCTATTGGTGTAACAAAAGTCTTCTACCTTAGATGCTCTTTTCTGTCTCCCACTCTCTCTGTCCTGGCTGTAAAGCACATCCCGAGCACAAGAGACCATCTGCTGGACTCAACTGCCCTTTGACTGTTTGGAGCTGCATCTCCACATCAAAGCTAATCATTGATCAACTTGATCAACCCAGTGGAGAGGTCTCAGCATGGTCACAGGATTAGGGATGGTGTGGATAAACAAACGTGATCCGTTTCAAGTTCCTTTTCAAATGACACCAACCCCACTGAGAGTCCCACAGAAGAATTCAGGGTTGATTCCACTAAGTTTAACATCACTTCCCATCTAACACACAAAAACTTATACACAGTTTGGAAAATACCCAACCCCACCTCTACATTAACCCTCTTTTCTTCCATATGCACTACACTTGGTTATTGCTTTGTGTTCACAGCGACAAACTGACTTTCTCTCCTGAGCCTTAAGGCTTCCTTCACATGGATTGAAAAATCAAGCCTGGGCACAACTGGAGGAGAATTAAACAGCATTCCTGTGTTTCAAAGAAAACTGTACAAATCCTCTTATTACACAAAGAAGAGGGAATCTGTTCTACCTCGGTTTCACCCTGCTCTCTTGACACTTACGAATATTCATGCTGTGAAGCAGATGGTTTTCCTGGCACGTCTTGGGGTTTCCCTGAGAATTCGGTTTCTACTTGTTCCTTATGTGCTTGCCTCAGGAGCTCAGCCATGGATACCTCTGCCTCGCTCCTGGGAGTACTGTCCTGAAAAGGAGAATAACTGGCAGACACTTCTTCCTCGGAGACAAGAGGAGGGTGTTCGGTTGGCTCACTGTCTTTAGATATTCTGTGGTGTTCCTGCTTGTGTCTTGAGCTGTACACTTCTTCTTGCAGTGCAGAAAACCCTTCAACAACACAGAGGAGAAATGGCATTACGAGAAGGCAGGAACTCCCTCTTGTGCTCCATGTGCATTTAAAATCCCTGCAAGGAACACATTACCTGCAACTCTCAAACATCTTGAGTGGGATGGGACATAACCTCTCTAAGTAGCTGAAGTAACAATGGAATACCACTACTATTGCCAAATTTGGACAGTAACAGACAAAATAAAGTTGATCCAGAAATTTAGCTAAATTAATTAATCTTGAAATCCTCAACAAGATTCACAAAAGAATTTGATACAAGAACTAGCTCATTTATGTGCTTCAAAGCATAACAAACACACCCACTCACCCCCAACCCCTAATCTCAAAGCAATACTGAATGAAGCACATAGAAGACTCACTACTGCACTCACATAATTTGGAAGTGCTTCTTCAGTTTACAATCAATGATCTAATGCACCGAACTTTTAAACTTGAGAAATGGAATCATGTCCTAGCAGAATAACAATACCCTGGATGCTTGAATCCAAAGGTTTTGTCAAAGCACAGAAACATTTTCCTTTTACAAGTCTCCATCAAATCCTAATACAACCTTCTGAACTGTCATGAAAGTACTTGTATGAGCAAAAGAACCCCAATAAACCAGGCAAAGGTCTCTGAGCACATTATTTGCTTGCTAAGAACCAGTTAAAGCACAGATCTTATCCCTGGTCAGACAGTGACCCATGTGATGCCAGGCTTGCATTCATTCATCCATACTACCCGTGCTTTCAAAATGGGATTCTAGTGCTCAAACATTTCCAAACAGAAGCTTCTGCCAACTGGCTGAGCAGCCACTTACCTTCGCTGTGGTCCAGTCCTATGGACTGTTCCATCTCCGTGTAGGTGCGGGTGCCGTGGACCTGCGTGGAGTCGATGCCGCTGGTCTCCATGAGGTGAACGATATCCATCCGGTTGATTTTCGTGAGACATTGGGTAAGATTTGTATCTGTGGCATCAGAACAACACCGTGGAGCTCAGTTAAGAATTAAACATGGTCTCTCCTTTCTGTTTTCCACGTGAAAGGCATACGTGGGACACTGACCGATACAATATCATATATAAATTACAGATACATTTGGAAGCATTGCTATGTAAAATCCAAAAAGAACCGAATGGTTGTTATAAAAATTGATTTTTCCTTTAACAATTTTGCCACGTTATACAGATAATACTAGAAATAACACTCTGTAAGTATAATTCATTCTTTCCATAGGCAAAATATTGCCCAAATTTCTTCTTTGTGATTACAACACAATCAAGTAGCAAAGAGGAGACAGTCAGATGCCAAATGGAAACGAACCTGTTGCGTGTTTCCCATCCCTTTCAAGCCAGTACTTGAGGAGTGCGTGGCTCTGGTCTTGAAGTGAATTGGGATTTTCGATTCGGATCTGGTGAATTTGCTCTTCTGTGAAATCCAGTTCTCTTGCTAGCTCTGAAAAAGAAATCCATCTCTGTAAAGGGGTCATCTAGTACTCCCCTGGACTCATTTCATTTACAGAAAAGTAAATGTCTATAAGTTACAGCTGAACCCCAAAATCTGAAAAAAATGGGAAACTGGTGTCTTTCTGATGAACAAAAACCAACCACTATTTCACCCTCCACAGTAACATTTGACAAAGTAATCTTTAATAGAAGCAGTCTTTACCATAATAGAAAAAAAAGGACTATTTATGGAGGTCTATTAACCTGCCCTCCCTATAACGCCACAGAACATTAATGTCTATCTTGACAAGCATCCACTTTTGTCTAGTTTTGTTTTCAGAGCTGTCTATTAAATTTTTAGTGTATTCCTAATTTGTTACATTGCACAGGTCCCAGTCATACTGATTTCAGGGTAAATCCATGTTGGGATGAGTGACCCATGCTCCCAGTTACTCTATGGATTGAAGCACAGGACAGGAAAGGAAGAGGTGAGCAACATAAGCAAAAAAGTATCAGTGATGTTTTGCGTGTACTCTGAAGGCACTTCTGAAAACAGTATAGAACACAATCTTCACTATCAAGGAACTAAAATGTTTTCCCTGGTATACAGCTATTCCTTAACTCCTAGAGCATAGCTTATTTTCAGGAACCTGATACTGCTCTAGAGAGAGATATAAAAGAGATATAAAAAAAGTGCAGACCTGACACAATTTTTTGCATCATTTTTTTTTTGCCAGACCGCACAGTTTGACACAGCACAGAGATTTCTGCACAGCTCCTTCTCTTTGTAAGAGCCTTGGAGCTGGTTTTCAGCGATATCTGCAGGTAATTCCGTGTTCCTTTCACTTGTCCCCAGTCCCGTTCGCTGCCTCAGGTCTATTAAACCCACAGTCCTAAAGTGATTGCTAAAGAATAAGTTCCTCGTTACCCACTTTAGGAATCTTCAGTAACCCAAAGACAGTAAGCTGATGAAATATTTCTATAAAACATTTTTTAGATAATCAGGAAAAGAAACAAGAAAAGAGTGCGGACCGTCCTTTTTCTCCAGAGCAGAGGACGTGCATTTTACCTGTCCAGCTGAATCCAAGATGATCAGCGATGTGGGCCAGTCTTTCCTCTGTCCTTTCCTGATCATCCTGCTGATCTAAAGGTCAAAGAGAGCTACAAGTTGCCTTTTACAAGTTAAAACCAGTTTCAACGGGTGATACAGTCCAAGAAGGGAAGGTGCTGTTTTTTCTAACTGCTGTGTCTAAATGCGAACAGGCTGCATAACTAGAGCGAGGATTGTAAATCCCCAGGTTAAAAAATAAAACCAAAAAGCTTGACTTTTTTTTTTTAAGAAGCACAGGACTATCTATATTTTCCATTTGAAAATCAGGCTTTCCAGTGAAAGTTTAAGCCAGGACTGAAGCGCCTACTGTGACTATCTGGGCCAAGCACTTTATTCTAAAACTTCATTCTGACATTAAATTGAAGACTTTATCTAGGTTGAGAGCCATAATTTTCCATGCCTCCTTAGTAAATGCCAGGGTTGAAGAATTCATTGGGACCGGTGCTTCTGATTACGTCCTTTCTGTAGCAGGGAAAGTTCTGTTCAAACAGTCCATATAGCACTTTGGAATATGGTCTGTATTTGAGACACTGTTAATTTAAGTGTCTTTGACTCTTCAGACTAGGGAGTGAGACAAAGTACTCACAACGAAGGCAAGGAAAAATCAGGTGGTCATTCGTCAGTCTTTGTTTATTCAGCTAAGGGTCAGACTGACGGCTCCTCCCATCCCCACAGCTAATTTGAGGATGGCAGAGTTTGAGTTTTGATTTTCCCTGAGCGCACACACAGACTGTGATACCTCAGAACCAGGACATTGCTTAGGGTTCACGATACATGCACGTGTCATTTCAGCTCCTGGATTTCCACTGTGGCGGCTCAGCAGGAGTACACAAGTAGGCGAGAGGAAAACCGAACCCCAGAAAACTTGTACTAAAATTACCGGTGACTCAGAGCTTTCTTGACACACAGATCGTCAAAAAAAGGAACATGAAAAGCTGAACTCTTTAAAACTTCTGCAGATCTCTTTGTGTAACAACTCGAAAGAATATTAATTTGCCCGTCTCGCTTGCAATCAATGCCCAAATATTTTATTATTAGTAAAAGTTATTAGTTAGTAACAGAGCCAGGGAAAGTCAAAAGCCAAAACGTGCATGACCTAAGCAATAGCTTTAATGGCAAAACAATACATATTTTTAGAAGTGTTTTTGTTTCTTAAGGCAACACTTCCCACAAGCACTTATGGGTTTGCAATCTTGAGATCGGTTCACAGACAAGAACACAGACACAACACAAAAAAAACCCACGGCTCACAGGGGGGAAAAAAACGCACAACTAACCACCAAAAGCTGAAAAGAAAATGCCACACATGTTACACCCATACACAAACACGCACACACACACGCACACACACACCCCAAAGGAAACAGAAAACAAAAAAGTTTAATTCATGACATGCGTCGCACAGGGAATCCCAGTCGTTGGCAAATACCTTCAGCATGGTCATGGACATTTTCGTCAGGGATACGTTCAATCTGAGTCTCTACAGACTCATCCCAAATGGGTCTGGTGTCAAAGATGTCTTCAGGAACTGACTGCTGAGTCTCACTGGATGGCACATTTTCAATAACTGAAACTTCTAGGGCGCTACTGCTTTCATCATCTGAAACTAATTCTTGTTCTCTCTCTGACTGCGTGAGTCTTTCCACTAATTTAGAAGCTTCATCACTAATTTCTTCAAAGAACTCTATGGAGTTTTTGTAAAGATCAAAAAAATGGTCCTTACTTTCTTTTGTGGGACTAAAAGCACTGCGGGAGCCTGTAGTGCTTCTGTTTTTAACTGGCAACCGCGATGAAAATACCTTCGATCTTGCTGTTGCTGCCTCATCTGAGTCTAGCTCAAACTTCATCTCACTCTCCCTCTCTCTGGTCTCTGCTTCCACCTCAGCACAACTCCTAGCTTTGACTGAACGCTTAGCCTTTGGGTCCACGGGACTACTCGCGTCAGATTCCGATTTACTCCGGTTATCTTGTTTCGTAGGTACAGCGCTCGTCACGTCGAGAGCTTTGGGGGACTCCAGCTTGCGGGTAGACGTGTCCGCGTAGGTGTACTGCGGTTCGGCTTTTTGGGAAGCGGATTTGACGGGAATTTTAGACTTTGGTTTTGCTTGCTCGTCTTTTCCTTCACACTGCGAACTGTCTAGGAAGTCGTCCGGGGAAAGGCTCTCGTTTTCCGACTGTTGCGAGGATTGCGATGCGGCGGCAGCTGTTCGGATGGGGATTTTGGATTTGCTTTCACAAGAAGGCACGCTCTCCATTAGAGCAGTGGGGATTTCAATCACAGATCTCTGTTCCTCTGGGGAAGAGTCCGGGGACTCCTCGCCCTGTTCGGAACTAACTGATCTGGTGACTTTGGAAAAATCTAATTCATCTTCTACCGCACACTGCTCAGGAGAGATGGGGCAAGGCACCTGACTGCTATCAACCGTGTCGGTCTCCGTTCTGGAGAGGGGCTCAGCTTCAGAGGCAGCAATTTCTTTCTTTGGTGATTTTGAAGAAGCTGAAATACCCATTTTAATTGGAATTCTGGATTTAAGATCTGCTTTTGAGGTGCCTGTGCTGACACCTTCACCTGTGATTTCTTCTGATTTATCACTAGACTCGGGTGACGGGGGTGAATATTTCACTGTGTCTTTTTCTGGTGTATCTGACTCCTCTGATTCTGAAGGTGCAAATGGGTTCAACGAGCCCTCCAGCTTCGAAGATTCCTCCTCTGCTGCTGCTTTCACTTCTTCAGATAATGAAACTTCTTCCTGAGGCTCCTGCCCACCCTGGAAGAAGTGAAAGCTTTCATCTGGGTAGTTCCTTTTGGTCATGTCAATGGCTCCGCTTCTAGTCATCTCAAACAACTTGCCTTCCTGAAAAAGAAAAGGGTTTTGTTCACTGAGTGGCGTCCCTTCTTCAGTGGGTGTCCTGGCCGGTGTCGTGTCAGGGGTTGTGCCTTGCGATCGCCTGTCTACCATCAACCCGAATATCTTTTGTTCCTCTTCTTTCACCCGAGCTTCAAAAGCTTCATCGTCTTCACGTATTTCGCTCCACATGTCAGAATCCACATCGGTTCTAGTGATGACAACGTGACCCATCAATGTCTCCGTTTCATCTCTTATATCCTCAAGGGCAGATTCAGCTAATTGCGTGGCATCTGAGGACAAAGACCCTTGTGACATGGTCTGAAATCCATCCTCTGGTTTGGGCTCTATTTCCATATACACTTCCTCTGAAGAGCAATACTCACTGCCTGTGTCTCTGCTAAGTAAAGCTTCACCCGTCTGATCTTTCCCTGCTGCAACAGAATAGGTTTCCCTAGAGTGCAGACTTCTACCAGATCCTACCTCACTTTCAGAGTCAATAAAGAAATGTCCAGAAGACACGTTTTCATAAGGGCTCACTATATATGGAGCACTACTGTCAGTGGCATCTGCTACACAACTGTCAAGTTCCACTGTTTCAGTGGTAAGGGATGAATACTCTGGTAACGGTTCCTCAGCAGGACTATCTCTTTGAGATGTTTTGAAACCTGTATCTGCTTTTCCCAAATCCCTTCCCAAAGCAGAATGGTCAGTGGTATCATCTTCAGCCAGTTTGCCATCTCGTGGTACAGAGTACTGGGTGGTACCGTGCCCACAAGAAAGGCCCCCTGCCCTCTCTGACACTGCTCCTGTAGAAATGAGATCTCTGTGTAACGCTGCCACGGGTTTGACATCCTTTTCAGTAGCCTCGTATTGCTTGAGTGTTAACGAAGACTCAGCGTGAACTTCTTTCTGAGGACTGTCACCAACGGAGTGACAGAGAGCACCCCCAGGTCGTGTGACTGTCTCACAGTCACCTGTACTGCCACAACATTTAGATTCAGCACAACCATCAGAATGACAAGTGCCTGATTCTCCCGTGGAAACCTCACAGCTGCGCCCAAGGATAAGCGGTTCCTCTTTGTCACCTTTGCCTTCTGTTTTAACTGCACCTATCCCGACAGAGCATTGCTGGGAATCAATGGGTTGGAAACCTGCTTCGTCGGGGCTGGAGCTGGAGTCCATACTGGACGGTAAAGGTGAGGGTGGCTGCACTCGGATCACAGGCTCCATTAAGAGGCCTGAGTCGGCTTCTTTTTTGAGGCGGGTTAATTCTGGCTCGCTTTCCGAAGAGGAAGAGCTTTTCCTAGATTCAGCTGCAGGTGTAACTATTGTAGGTACATCTTTTTCTACTACAGCCGTTGGCTCTGCTGTTTCGGTTTCACATGGAGCTTCTGAGCTGGCAACTACACAAGACTCATCTTGCTTACGATTCTTTTTGTAACCTCTCTTCTGCTTCGCTTCTTGTTCCAATTCATCAAACATTTTGATTTTGGTCACCATTTTAAACATCTCCTCTTCAGGGGTGAATCTCTTCTTCGGTTCGCTTTCCGAGTCATCCTCTGGCTCTTCGTTGACTTCAGGGATCGTGGCCGACTTTGGTATGTTTGACAGTGACTGCAAGTCTGCCGTTTTAGGTGTGATTTCGTAGCTAATTTCTTCTGAACTGGGAGTCTCGGGTGAAACGGGACTTTTCCCCGAACTCTCCATGAGGGATGTTTGCTCTAGACTGTCATCATCGGCACTTCCCTCGGGGTCACGGAGTATCCTGGAACGCACCGATGCCAGCTCTGGGCAGCCTTCTCCTTTGCTAAGAACAGGCTGCAGAGGACCCTGCCCCAAAATACAAGCCTTCACTGTTGGTTCTACGGGGCTGCTTTCAAGGGAATCACGGCAGGGAGACTCTTTCATAGGACTGGGTTCCAAAGAGTCGGGTGTTTTGTGTGATGAGTTATCTTCTAGCACTGGGCTTGCTTCCAGGGAGTCTTTATGACTTATAGTCAAAGAGTCATCTGCAACTGGGCTAAAGCCTTCACTATCATGGCTAGCAAGTGAAAGTTCCAATTTCTGGGGACTTCTAACTGCAACGCGGCGTTCACAGGTTATATCTTTTTCTTTCTCTAAAGCATGTATTTCAGAAGACTTAGTGAAATGTGCAGTGGTTCTGGATTCTTTATCCCTGCTAATATCTTTCATAATGGAAGCTGAGCTACTTTCTTTAAGTTTATCAGCCTCTTCTTCAGAGGCTGTAGGTACACGCTCTTCTGATAAATGGTCAGAATGAGACTTACTAGTCTCAGTAACAGCATCTAGCTGTCTCTCAGTAATACCTTTTTCATCTTCCTTTGAGGAGACTTCCTTCGGAGAGCACGTTTCAGCTGTTGTGTGTGCTCTAGCCGCTCCTTTAGCTTCCTCAGTTGGCCCATCGGTTTTCTTTGGTGAGAATGAAAGGCTTTCTGGGCTCGTTTCTGGAGTCTCTGCAAGACCCTCATGCTTGTAACTTTCCTCAGAGCTGATCTGAGGGGTTCCGTCGAGTAGACTGCCTGGAGAGTCAGCCACACCTTCGTGTTTAAGGCTCTCTGAGCTCCCATCAAAAGCACCACTTTGCAGAGAAAGAGCGGGAAGGAATCCATCTTTCCCATCCTCTGTGGGGAAAGCAACACCAAAAGGACTGGTCAGTACTTGCTCCAAGTTAAGTTCTCCCTCCTCTGTCACCGAGAGGTGTCGGAACTGTTGGTATTTGTCATTATCCTCCAGTTCTTCTTTAATGACGTCAGAAAAGTCTGTTGAGGTTTTCCTGTCAGGGCTGATCTGGAAGTCAGGATCTCCTTGGTCATCAGAAGGTCTGCCCTTCCCAGATGCCATTTCTTTCGCACTTGCATCAACTGCTACAGGAGGGAGAGGCTCCACTGGCTTCCTGTTGCTCTGCTCTTTCGCCTGGTCTTTACCACCAGCTTTCTTGGTGGTTTCAGTGGTAGAAATTTGCGTTTTGCCTTTTTTGGGTTGCGGCTCTTTCTCTGCTTTTGACACCGGGCTCGGCTTGTCCTTCTGTTTGTCTGTCTTGAGGCTTGTGACTCGCCTCGTTTCGCTCTGCGAAGGAGTTGTTTTCCTCCGGGTTGTTTCCTTCTCGGGGGCCTGTTGCTTCTGTTTGACAGACTTGTGCTCAAACAGGCCAGATATGTTCTTGGATGGGTCTTGCCCTGACTGGAAGGCTTTCATCAGCTCACGAACTGACATGGTCTCTTCGAGTCTCTCGGTCTTAGAAGAAGGCGAGACAGGCGGTTGGGCTTTGTGTGCCACCGGTTTCTTGACTTGTGCTGGTTTCTTAGGTGCCTTCTCAGCAGGGCTTTCTTTTGCTTGAACTCTGACGGGTAGTTTGGACCGGACTTTTTGTTCATCTTCCACTCGTTTCTGAAGAGCTTTCACTTTATCTTTTATGGAGCCAATGGGAGTGTCCTCTATAACAGGGGACACGGCTTTAGCCTCTGGAGCAGCTGTCACCTTTAGGCCAGGTTCCCCGCCCTGCGACTCATCTGCAGTGAGCTTTGGTAGTCTCAGCTTTTCTCCGCTGCTCTGCGCCTTGCCTTCCTTTGGTTTTGGCTTCTCTTTTAGTTTTGTCCTGACAGGTTTTTTAACTTCTGAGGCCGCTTTCTGTTGCTCCTTTCCAGTTTTTGGAGATTCTTTTCCTCCTTTTTCAGAATCCCTGCTTATTCCTACAGCTTCAACCTTCTCTTCTACTAAGCCCTCTTGCAAGGTTCGTGGCTGTACCTCAGGAAGAGAAACGTGTGTTTTTAAATCCTCTACCTTTCCTGCCGTGCCTGGTTTCCCCTTTTTTGCTGTCCCTTTGTCTACCCTGACATCTACACCGGCTGGCTCCGTGACGTCTGAGGGAGCATTTCTTCTGGCCTCTTCGATTTCCTCATCGCTGACAATGATCCATTCTTCTTCTACAGGCTCTTGTTTGGAAAGGGACTTCTGCAAAACATGTTCTTCTCTGGTATAGGATCCCCCTCTCAGAATTTCATTTACTTTTTCTAAGTCCTCTTTCACTCTTTCAACTATTTCAAAAGGCTCTCCTGGCTCTTCCTCAGCAGGTTTTCCAAGATCTTTCACTTTAATGGAGCCTGATTTATCAGAAGGGTCAGTTGTCAGGATGGCAGTCATTTTGATCAAATCTTGTTTCATCTCAGAAACTTCAGACAACAGGTCTGGACTGGCTAGTACAGGGACTTCATTAACCAGATGGCTTTTCAGGATAGATGTTTCTGTAGACTCTGTCTCGTCATCTTTGATGCGAATGAAAAACATTGAAAGTAAAGTGGAAATCAAAAATAGAGATTGGAAAATGTAATCAGGACTGAAAATGACAGTCTTTGGTTGCAGTGGTGGGAAAGTCAACAAAATGGGCCGGGAATGATGGATCCACAAGATTTGAGGGTACAAGAGCAAAGCAAAGCTAACGGGGGAGGGAAAAAAAAAAAAAACAACTGAAAAGGAAAATGGCAGGAAATAACTTGCTTCACTTTATCGCTAGAGCACAACCACACATACAGTATCAAAGCTGGAACAAACCAAATCAGGACACCACTAAAAAGAAACCAAAACAACAACAACGAAATTTCAAACCAAAACCAGAAGAAACACAGTGAAGTTACACAAAGAGAGGCATCTCAAGATTGTTCAGATGTTACAGATCAATGTTCAAATAAAAAGAAAAAACAAGAAAAAAGGGGGAAAGCATTAGAACTGATTGAAAGTCGATTTCCTCTAAGAGAAAGCCAGTGTTAGCAAACTGTCAGAGTAACATCGGGTTAACGGTTTTGTTTTTCTTAATGACCAAAATAAAAGGTGAAAAGTAATTCTGCAGTAATCTAAAATATGACCGAATACGTAGAGATCTGAATCAGCTGCAAACCGGCATTTCATCTAAGGGGATTTCACACCTACACAATGAAACAAACAGTCTTTTGTTTTAAGAGGCATGGTCCTTTCCTTGGAACATCCTCATTGACAACTAATGAACTGACTGAGGAAAGAGAAGACAGAGAAGAAAAGGAGAGAGAATAGGAAAAAACTGTGAATCAACTTAGAAGTGATTTCAGAGTTTTAAAAAATGTAATGTATGGCAACCCAAAATCAGAGACAGTCACACTAGACACATACGTACAATTCATGTAAGGCAAGTTATTTCCATGCAAAGCAAAGGTGTTGCAAAGGCTGCTGGGGATGCTGTAGCTTCGGTTAAAAAAGAAGAGCTCTAAAAATTAATCATATAAAAATTAAAGGTACATGAGAATCCCGTAAAACATACTGTGGTGAAATATTTGTCTAATCTGGCAATCAAGATACAGGAAGCTGGCTGCAGCAAATTCCCATTATGCCACAGCTGCCTGCTGGGAATGCTTCTTTCAGCAAGGACTCGTAGGAAACGGATATTGAACAGAATGAAACGGTGGAGGACTGAAGCAAGTTACGAACAGAACACAACGCTTAGGAATTACAACTGGACATTATTTCCCTTTAAAGGTAGCACATCACATGGAACTGCACATTTCGGCACTCCAGACTTAAAGCCAAAGCGCTAATGCAAATAAGGAGAACCTAAGCAATACATAAGTAGCCGTATTTATCTGTAAAAAACAGCTGTTTTGCTACACTGTTCTCCTGGGTGTAGCGAATGCTACAAGTCTGTGGTGTACATTACGTACAACCAGGTCAATGAAGGGCATTATGGTGCTGAAAATGTGGCCTTTTTGTGCCACTGTTTCGGTGTGAACTGTCCAGCACACACCGAAATGCTGGTCAGTAGCTTCACAGACTTGTAATATATATTTTCATAAATATCAAATGCATGACTGTCCCACTGGCCAAAGAAGCAAGTTAATTAGCCGGAAGCAAAGCAGCTCCTGTGGGAAATAAAGGGCTTCTCTGTAGCCTGGGGAGTTGGTGGTGAGGAAGCAGCGGTGGAACAATGCAAGATGTGGCACTTTAACTGGAAACAAAACAGATGTCATTCTTTCCCTAAACAGATCCAAGAAATGGCTCAATTGGAAGCAGACTCTCTTTAGTCCATGTAGGTATTTGTTTGATTTGCATCTTCTCCCAAGGAGACCTCAGTGACCCCCTCGCGCTCAGTTTCTAACAGTAACAGCCTGATTCCGGAGGTACAAGGGGTACACGCGCTGTGCCAAGCTTTAATGTCATATTTCCAGCCATATTTCACCACAGTACAGGGCAGGGAGGGCGGGGAGGCTTAAACAGCCTGGTTACTTTGGACAGTATCGCTTTTTGGCACGCTTGTATTCCATGAGATCCATGGAATACACGGGAGCCTTCACTAAGTTTTCATTAAAAGTGATACTGTCGTCTGTCTCAAGTATGAGGCAAGGATGGGTGTTGACAAGTGGAGAAAACAAAAAAAATGGAGGGATGAGCATCCATACAAGCAAAATAGCAATAGCAGGATCACTAGGGATGTCAAAGGAAAGTAAATGCTTAGATGAACGGTTTTAAATTGTTAATTTATACGTTAAAATGTATTTAATTGGATAGCTGCTTCGATAATAAATTGTTTTCTATTAAAGTACTGATGTTATTAGCAACAGCAGTTAAAAACTTAGCTCTCTTTCATGCTTATGTTTACTCTTAAACCATCTTTCATACGAACAGCATTATAACACTTTCAAGTCAAAAAAAAGAAAATCTTACTTTTTTCTGACGTCATGTCAACCTGGAAGGGGAAAAAAAGGGGGAAATTTAGAAGTTCAAATCAAATTATACATGGAAGTGAAGTTAAATCCACTAGATATATGGAGACACACAGATTCACGGACTTATATGGAACCAAGAATGTATTTACAGTAACAGCAAAAGCATGGTTTAATTTCCTTAGTGAAAGAAAATATAAACCTTGCCAAAAAAACACATGAAACAAAATGCACTGTCAGACTATGAAAATTCAAGAGGCAAATTTTTGAGGTTGCCTTGTGATTTGAGTTTATTTCTGTTCTGCCAGCATTTGTCCACACAAGCACATGTCGGGTAAATTTGGCCACGCAAAAGTACCCAAATTTAGAAGTAGCATTAAACACTCAGTTTGCTGTACAAACTCGTGGTGGGGGTAGGATGACCGTGGGGAATGGAAATCAGCTGTGCAGTACTGCAAGTACAAGATATCGTGTGTGTTAAGGCCCCCAAGTTTTTTTGTGAGTGTTGAAAACGTTGTAGTTGTTTGAAAATATTCTTGATAAAGATAAATGCAATATACTGGCTCAGTTATGATCTGAGTACATCTTTGCTTTTCAATAAACTGACAACAAACAGAAGTAAATCGCTGGCCACACGTGCACGTCTGTACATGCCTTGCAGTGCTTAGGCTCACAAAATTAAATTTTACACTCAGCAGTGTGTGTTATGGATCCATAATAGTCTGAATTCCTCTGACGCACAGGTCACCCTACATGGTAACCTGGGATCCTTTAATTTCCCTTACTTTATGTTCTTCCAGATCAGCATTATATCAGCATACTAATAAATATTATTAACATAAAAAATAATAAAGTCAACCAAAAATAATTTAAAATGGGAGGCGGTTTTAGCCACCAACGGGGCTTGTCTTTTTGTGCTTTAGTTTCTTACACACAAATAGAAGTCATATTTACCACAGGAGTGGTAAATACCTCTATAATGATAATAGGAAACTGCAATCCATGCCACAGAACTGCTGAACTCTGTTCTGCATCCATGGAAAAGATGTCCATCCGCTTTGGGGAGCTGGCTGCCTATTCTCCCTCTTCTTTCCAACAGCTGAACATCATCAAAATGTGGGGATGCTTTTCTAATGTTACCCATTCAGACCTTAAGGAACATCCACACCTGCCAGAACAGGGCTGGGAGCACAGAGGGGAGTTGGTACCAATTAGTTTATGCTGAAGATGAAAATTCTAAACCTTATACTCCAGGCAAACTTACTTGTGACTTCTGAGTCAACACTGACTTTGTGCTGGATGTTAAAAATGCAGAAGATTTCTAATTTTGACACGGGGCAAGTTGAACTCTGTACATTGTAAAAGTGAGCCTGTACAAGAGCCTTGAATTGCACTCCTCCTTTTTGTGTTTCTAGCACTGAGCTAAGGATGAATGTGCCTGTTTTACTACAGATTTAATATTCCAAGTTGTGTCTGCTAGTTGTGTTTGAGTGGTGTGAGTAGGCATGAACATGCTCAACATTACCTCTTCTGGTTCTTGATCTGAATCTGATTCCTTTCAGTTCCAAATTGCCATGTGAAAAGAGAAGGGGAAAACAGCAGGCAAAATGTAAAGAGTAGGAAAAAGTAACTTCTGACAACATTTAACAGAAAAGACGAAAATGCAGAACGTTTCTGCAACTGATTTCTTATGTCAAAAAGCAGCAAAACTGAACTGTCAGTTCAAAACACAAAGGGCTACAGAACTGAGCAAAATACAAACAGAAAAGTTGCTTCTGGGTGTTAGACTTCTAGTGATCCTTATTTGTACCAAAACTGTAAATATATACATGCTTTTTCTCTACAAATTAGCATGAATAAATACTTTAAATAGTTAAGAACATTACCCATTGAAAGTTAAAAATATGTTGAGATGTGGTGTTTTAAAAGCACACAAAAATGCTATAATAAGGATTATACTTCATTCCTCTTTAAAATCCCTGACCACGAAACTTGAACTGTGTTTTGCCCTCCTCCTCCTCCTTTCTTGTTTGTATTATAATGCTGATGACCAGAGATCAGTGTAATTTCACAGTACCTTTGTGTAAATGGGTAAAGTGATGTTTAAATTACATATGGCTTGGTGAACGAGGCCCCTTGTAGATTTTGGCTCCTTCATGAAGGATAATCGTCCACAGGGTTCTTGAGTGGTATCTCGCACCTGCCAGAGCAAAAATACATCTTTTTAAATTGAACAGTCCAGGGACAAAATCGGGTTATAGTTGGGAATTTAGCTAAATTGATTTTTTTTTTCTTTGTTTGCAAAAAATATGGTGAAACAATAACTTCAAATATCCAAAAAAGGAGTCATTAACATTACCTTAACAAATAGAGGAAGTCTATTCTCTTTGAAGGCAAAAAAGCTGAATATATGATGCTGCCCACTCTTTGTGAGAGGCACCAAATTGCCAAAGCAGTCAACGTAGATGGGTTTTCCTTCTAATACCTGTTGGAAAGGGAAAAGGCAGCAAAGCAGCAATTAATCACAGTGATTAGGTGGTTAGGATTCCTTCTTACAGAAGAAATCACAGGCAGAGAAGTATTTTCTTCAGCAATCGAATCAAAAGTCAAAGGCAGTGTTTCTCAGTAGATTTCTATTTATTTCAGGTGGATTTGTAAAGGCCTAGAGCTTTTCCAAGTCAGGCCTCAGGTAAATATCTATCTTAAATCCCTATATAATGGTACTGTTACATCTTCAGATTGTGCTGTTATGGCCCCCCCACGTGTTTAAATATCAGATTAGCAGTCTGGGAGATGTTCCCTTCAGCCTGACAAATTAATGTCTCATCCTTACTTCCCAGAAATTTAGCCTTGGAAGTTTGATAATCCTTATTTTATCTACCTGCTCTGCACAAGAAATGCCTGTCAGAGCTTCAGGAACAGCGAGGACAGATTTTTTCAATGTGGGATTCTCAAGGAAAAGAGGTTGAACTAAGCAGAGGAATGTGCCATGCCTGTAAGTTAAAGCACTTCCAATCTGTCATCCCTTCTGAGGAAGCTGACAGAGCCAGAAAAACTGCATTCAGCAGGCAATTTCCTGGAAAGCTTTTGCCTGTTCAGCAGCAGATTTAATTTTATTTTTGTAAAGCAGAATATTAATCAATCTTGCTACTTCAACTTCTTGGTACATAAAGGTGCTGACAAAACATGACTACTGTCAAACTGCCTTTTTGGTTAGTGATATGGATTTAGGAGTTACTGGAAATTGGGATTTACATTTGCTTTTTGGCTCTGACTATCCCCCTTCAGCCCTGTGGGCTCAAGTTCAGCTAAGAGTTCAGCAGCTTCCCATTGGGAATAGTGTTTCATCACTACTTTCCCCTTATATCTGACTAAAGTCCAAGTATCCATCTTATCACTACAGTTGATACTGCCTCACGACAGTAGTTGTTGGCAGTTTTTTTGCAGTACTTGTAGCAGATAGAAGGCAGAAAATATTACTTTAAAAGCAGACGCTATAAAATAGAGGAAAAGAGTCCTGTACAGTACCTCTACATCCCTGCTTCTGGCAACTTCAGCAAAATTTTCCTGTTGTTCTAGAGTTTTATCCACCTTGTCGTCCGTCATGCAGAAACACCTTAACCGCGCTTCGATGGGATCGTGGGATTTGGCAAACACCACAAATTTGGCCATGTAGGGGACACAGATAATCTCTCTGTACACTTGGGAAGCAAAAGTAACAGATTCTTGTGTCTGTCGACAGTCTATCAACCAAAATCTGTAAAGGAAAATGAAGAGTTGGGTCATCAGCACAGAAAGATTTAAGAAAGAAAATTATATGTTTCCCCAGCCTGGCAGCATTAGTTGGTAAGCCCAGCGATTGTAGATAACAAGTCACAAAAAAAGAATTGTCACGCTTGTTTTTTGTCCCCCATCTAACTTAAAGGATAGCAGCACATTCCTTATACACAATATCAAAACCTGGAGGTCTTTAGGTCAATGTAAATGATCTCGTCCTGCGTGCAATGTCAGAAATGATTCTCATGTGAATTTAATCACCAAGTATTTTCCAGGGAGTAACATGTGCTGCCTGCTTTCCCAGCCATCCCTTTGGTTCCTCTGCGGAGCTGATGACATTTCTTCTACATAAAATCCACTGTGTGGGTGGAAATCACGCTCGAGTTTCATACCCGTAGGATGGAGACGGAAGTCGGGAGAGGTCAAAGACAGCTCAAAAGCTGATCTAATCTACAGGGGGCTTATTCCTTACTGTGGATTACATGGCATTACAACCCCAAAGCACACCTTCTCAGCGTGACCGCCCTGGGCTTACTCATCTGCAGCTGAATAACAGGGAATTTTGTGCTGTGCTGCTCTTTAGAACGTTTAACAAACACATCGGTCAAAAAAAAACAAGCTGATGACATTTGAAGGAGAGAAAGCATGTGTGGCACAGAAAGGATCTGCACACCGATACTTTCCTTTTCCTGTGTGGGAGAACTATGCTGTGCTGGACTCAAACTGGAGAGGCTACATCCTCTGAGAAACCACCAGATGCCTCAATGATTTGCTGTCATACACCAGGGGCTAAAAAGCCCAAACAGAGACAATTTTTTAAAAAGCTGCAGCTCAGGAAATGGAAAACAACAGCCAGGCCTCCAAGTCTGCAGTGTGATTCACATGACAAATGTATCTCTTTCCCAAGCTCATTTTGGACAATGTTAGTCTTGTGAATGGAAAAATTCTTGTCCATCATTAATGATTTAGCTAGACAGAAAAAATTACTGTGAATAGCAAACAGTTAGAAATCAGCCCATTCTTGGCAAGGCAAAAGGACAGCAGCACTTTTAGACCAGGGCACAAGTGAAAAAAATTAAGGTTAGCTTGTCCTTTGGCAAAGAAAGTAATTATTTCCCTGACTCCAAATCCATGAAAAATCCCATTTTCTAACTTTACCAGCACTTAAAGTCACGTTTGAGTGAAAGGAGTCAGCTGAACATTCATTTCATTTACAAAGAAAAGGTAGAACCCCTTAAAATCTCCACATGGGACCCTGCCTATATCACAGAACATTAACAACAGTAATCAATTTTCATGTCATCATCAGGATTAGGAAAGATCCACTATAAATATGGGCTGTAGATTCATAAACTGTCACCCTCATTCTGGCTGTATTCCACATGTAGCCTTGCTGGGGACTTCAGAGTTTCAGGGACTTGGACCTCTCAAACTCTGCATCTAGTTTACACATATGGTTCTTAAATTAACCTTTAATTCAGCTTTAATTTCGCCCTTTACACAGACTGAGAGTTAAACACGCTGTAAGATCTCCCTCTTGTGGTCACTGCTGTTACAGCAAAATGTTGACCTGAACCAAAAAGGAATGTACATCAGCAAAGCATCCAGCTTAATGGGAACAAAAAGCCCTTTCTGAACTGAGAAAGTATAAAAAAATAATACTTTATTTTGCCTAACGTTAAACTGGGGGTTGGATTGCAAGAGCTGATCTCATCTTAACACTCAATACCTTATTTCACCATATAACAAATCTAATCTAATAGTAATAACTGCCCTGGACACTCAGGGTTGGCACTGAATTCACTGAATTTCATGGGCAAGTTATCCAAGATTTTTGTTTGCTAGACCACACTCCCTAAATGGAACACTTTCCAGATCATGGATTGCATCTCCTGTTACAGGGGAGGAGATTTCTGTGCACTTCTGTGACATAAATCATGGCCAGTGTACAAACTAAAATACATACATATATATGTAGTATTATTATTATTATTTTAATATGAAATTCTGTTTTCAGGAAGAAAGCAGTTGAACCTCGTCCCAGGAACAAATGGTTGGAAGAGATGCTTCTAGACCCCAGTTTTGTACACATACAGGTCTTTCTGCATGACTTCTCAGTTTTTGGATATTCTGGAAGTAATATCTCTTCTAAGATGTACAATGAGGTACCCAAAAAAAGGATTTCTATTTCCATGGAAATTTGTATAATAATAAGTATCTCTGTTCCCTCTACTATATAAACTAAAATAGTTTAAAGGAAATATCTGTTGGGAAAAAAAGACATGCACTTGAAAGTATCACTGTAAAACTCATGTTTGGTTGTGTAGGTACCTGGCAGACACATTTGTTGTGAAGGAAACACATTCATTAACAAATGTCAGTGGTGTTGTCCCGGTGATGTCTTCCCATTGGGCTGGGGTGGTTCCTCCTGAAGGGAGAGAGATTTTAAAAAATAATAAATTAAAACCAAGCAAGTCTGCAACTCTTTTGCTTCTAAGAAACATTTTAAATTCTTCTGAGTTTTTAATTGCTATGAAATCAGTAATAATCCCAGACATGCCTTCTCTTCCATATTATTCCACCAATGCTGGGAGGATTGGAAGGGTTAAATTAAACATGATTAAATTAATTTATTAAATTAAATGCATGCAGCTCATTTCTGCCTCTTAAGTGAGACTGAATGAGGCACTGGTTACTTTGGAGTTATAGCAAGCACTAAGTGTTTAACTCCATTATTTTTCACTTAAGTGTAGTGCAACATTAAGTCTGAACCACACTTATTCTGCCAGGCAGAGGTATGTTGGTTTTCAAGACACAAACTATAAAGAAAACGCAAAACACCCCCCCAAACCTCGAGTCTATGATTATATTACACATCTCTTGTTAGTCCAAACAACAAATGTTATTTCTGCTTAAAAATAATTGTTTGCAAAGTAGTTTATTTTCACAGCTTCTCATCCCAGCCAGGTTTTCTCCGAGCTTCCCGTGTGTGTAATCAGCTTAAAACATTTTCCAGCCCACGAGGAGTGACAGATTCAAGATGCACATGGAAAGCTCCAGCACTGGCATCCTACCTGTTATGCTGCATAGTAACCTCAGAGTGGGCGTGTCGCCTCCGTAGCCATTCATGATCCCATCGCTGGAGGCCTTGGGGACGGGAATCGTCATCGTGATGGGTTTGTGGAACTTCCTCCTCCGGGGCTCCAGCGTGACGATGGGGCTGAAGGTGGCCTTGTTGCCTAAAATCTTCTTTGTAAGTTCAGTGTGCATAGGTTGAGCCTTGCCAGAGCAACGGGAAAAATAACAGAATGGTTACTTGAAAACAATGTAGTGAGTTTGTAAAGAACTGGGTCTGCGTATCATACCTTTTTTTCCCCTTACAACAAGCTCTGAGCTGTTTTCAAAGTGTGCTATTCAGCCAGTCCCAACAAGCACAGTCTCCTGGCCAAGGTAAGTTGGGGATGCAAGCAGCAGGACAAGATGGAGAAAGGGGAAAAGACTTCCCTTTCTCTCAGGAGTGAATTGTTAGGCTGATTCCTTCATGCTGAGAATCTGTACATTTGACTTAATTATTGCAGCACTTTTTACTTTTCTGCTGCATTTCATAATAAGTATTTAAGAAACTGCTCTATGACCTAGTGTATCATTATCAGTATATTATTATTACTATATCATAATCATCAGCAAAATTAGGTACTTTTCCCAAGATTACATGGACAGTTAACAGACAGGAATCTGAATTAACTGGAAAACCCAAAGCTTTACCACTTGCTTTGACTTTTGCATGGATTTTTTTTTATTATTACTATGTTTACTAGAAGCATTGTAGACAAGATACGACACGGTAAGCTGGACATGCTGCTCTCCATTCACAGAATCACAGATTCAACCAGGTTGGAAAAGACCTGTGAGACTATCAAGTCCAACCTATCACCCAACACCACCTTGTCACCCAGACCATGGCACCGATGCCACATCCAGACTCTTCTTAAACCCCTTCAGGGACAGTGAGTCCACCAACTTCCTTGGCAGCCCATTTCAGTGTCTGATTACTCTGTAAAGAAGTTCTTCCTTATGTCCAAGCTGAACCTCCTCTGGCACAGCTCAAGACTGTGCCCTCTTGTCCTACTGCTGGTTCCTGGGAGAAGAGACTGACCCCCACCTGGCTCCCCCCTCCTGTCTGGGAGTTGTAGAGAGTGATGAGGTCTCCCCTGAGCCTCCTCCTCTCCAGGCTGAACAATGCCAGCTCCCTCAGCCTCTCCTCACAGGACTTGTGCTCCAGTCCCTTCTTTGGACACTCTCCAGCACCTCAATACCCTTCCTAAACTGAGGGGGCCAGAACTTCAAAGAAGGTGATTTTACGCTAAAAACCTTGCGATTGTTGCACCGTACCTGGAGGCCAACGCGGATTCGTTTGGTTAGAGCCCCTTCTGGGAAGACTGCCTGCACTTGTGGCACCACAGTGCTGCTCAGCACCCCTCCCTCGGGCCCGATGAGGTTGCTGTCCTGCTTGATCCGGGACACCACCGCGAAGTACTGAGGGAAATCCCGGGTGATGATGCGGCAGATCCGCTTCTTCTCCAGCTCCTCTGGAGTGTCAAGTACTGAGGGCAGAGGAGGAGATGGTCAGAAGACAAGAGTTTCACAGAACCTTCGAAATGCAGTCAAGCTCTTCACAGTTTGATGCAACTTACACAAAGTTTTTTAGTCTAGAAATCGAGGGCGAAAAGGAAACACACCCCAGTGTTCACCTAAACCGGAGAAATCCGAAAAAGGACAGACAGACAGACTGACCAACCAACTGTAGGGAGCTTAAGACAGCCAATAGAATATGCTGACATCTCCAAAATAAGCAGCCAAACACACCAAGGGACTCGTCTAAGCTCCTTTCTTCTTCACATATTTAAAACATCGTGAAGCAGCACAAAGAAAACGAAACTTCAAAACAAAAAACTATCGAAGTATGAGTTTGGCTTTAATTCTGTGAGGTGGCTTGTTTACTTCGGGGTTTGTTTGGGGTTTTTTGCTAAAAAAATAACAAATTTTGCAGCTCCAAGACAGCCCAAGGCCATTCTGTTCTCTCAGAAACCAAGAGCACCCGTGACTGACATTTCCTCCCACACGTGGGGCTGCTTGGAAAGGATTAGTATGATAATTGCCTTGTTTTGGAAAGATGTTTGCTATGGAAACTTTTTGTTTTACACTATGAAAAGGAGCTGCAGTAAACACAAATGTAGCACCTCTTCCCCATTTTGTGATGGCAGATGTCTCATCCCATGACTTCAGCAGACCAGGCAAGGGAAGTAAGTAAATGGTCCAAGCTATTACCCCCCAGTTAGAGCAGCAGTGCAGGAGCAGGATAAAAAGCCAAGTCCCCCCCCCCCGGATACCTTCATCCATCCCATTGAGGATTTCGTTCAGCTCATCCTCGGTGTATTCACAGAAATGCTCCTTCCAGCTGTCCCCGTTCTCGCTGCGCAGGATCACCAGCTCCCTCTCCTTCCCACGCAGAGCAGCAAAGTGGGGGATCTCCACAATCACAGGCCTGGCACGGCAACACAGCGCATTAAATGCACACGGGAGAGAGAAGAGACAGGATTAACAGCAACTCTACTCAGTCTGCTACAAAGTGACCTGGAATTCTACCTATTTGGCTGGAATACTTTGGCACAATCCTAAACTAGTAGGCCACTAACACAAACTAAATGTTTACAGGGACCCAGTAAGTGCTGAAGGACAGATGAAAAAGTGCATTCACCTCTTTCCACAGTGTGAATGAGATTTGGTAAGATAATAGTGCTTATCTGAAAATTTGGTGATTGTTTTGCAAATCCATCAAAAACTCATGCTCGTTTTAGTTGTCACTACTGTCTGGGTTAACCTGTGCAACTTCATTTCAAAGAGAATCTACTGTAACATATAGAAATAGTGGGACAAATTCTGATCTCACTCATACTAGTGCAAATCAGAATAATTTCATTGCTATCAGGGGGCAGGTGTGTCCTGCACCAATTTACTTCTTCATAATTCTATATATTCCAATGAACTTATTCCTGATTTACACCTTGGGAGAGACAGAGGAGGTCTGAGGAGATTGTCTGGGTTGCTACTGCAGTATAGGAGATAAGAATTTGCCTTGTTGCCTTACAAGCACATGTCAATACATGTATCAGCATAAGCGCCCATATATATATATATATATACACACACATATACACATGTGTACATATAATATATCTATATTTAGATACACATATACATACATAATCTTAGAAATAAGAGAGAAAATATAAATGTATTTGTATAAACACTTCTCTAATTAGAGGACTCACACAGGTTACCAGGTACATAGTAGATGCCATGTGTTCTATCACACTGGTGGTATCCAACATAAAACTTATCGATTGATCAGTCCTTGATACAAAAAAACAGCTTGAAATTTACAGTAGATTCCTTTTTTTTTTGTCCCAATCCAGGTTGCTTTGCTACAGACATCAAGCACATAACTAGGAAGATTTCATGCCAAAACAAAAATGAAGGCCACAGTACTCGAAGAAAAAGATACAAACATACCACCAAAACAAAACCACATATCACAAAGGTTGAAAAATGGTCCACTAAGGGTTAAGTGTACAAAATTTCAAATGATAGAAAGGGACAATATCATGGGCATAATGACAATAAAAAAATCATATTGCAGAAGGAGGAGAAGAATGGGGAGGTCAGCATCCATCAATTTGTTTCAAGTCTCTCCTACCCAAGGAATTTGGTCCCAGGAGGCCCCAGCTGAAGGATTCGGCTGACCAAGCTTTCTCCCTCATTAAGTGGGGGAGGAGCCGTAGGCAGATGAAGTTTACTGAGTACATCCAAAGCAGCAGTGAAAGAAAGAACATAAATAAACTTTATGTATTTTTTGTGCCAGAACGCCAGTGCCACTGTCTGGTGCACAGAGTGGAATTAGGCTGTACACTAAATAAGGTTCCGTCCTAGCCGTGACAATTTGGTGACCAAAATCGGCAAAATCAGTTTCGTGAATTTAGGATCTTGTCTTGCTTTATGGGGGCTTTGGCCATGAACTTGATGGGAACGGGATCTGGACCTTAGAATGCACCTCTGCAAACTGCACAGCGATTTTCTGATTTCACTGCCAGCACAACACCCGGAAAAACACTCGCAGGAAGGGCACAAAGACCTGAGAATGAAGCAACTCTGCTACAGCCTTGTCTTTTAGGGAGACTTTCTCATTAGATAGAGAAACCATTAAAAAAAAAAGGGAGACATACTTAAAATCCATTTGTGTGCGACAGAGATAATGGGAAGACTGTGAAAGCACAATATTTCTTCTGCTCTTTAGGTTTCTTTCTGCTTTCTCTTTAAGGTGACCAAGATGTGAAAAGAATAAGTGGTAGCACTAATGAAGATGGTAGCTCTGATGACTGCCTATTATAATAGGATTTTAAAGCAACTGAGTTGTTCCCAAATGGATTTGAACTACTGCCGTTTAGAGTCACTTCTTTTATAGTTTCTGAATGTGACAGAAGGGGTTCCTTCAATCATTCCCTTCTGGATGCCACAGTTGACAGGGAGAACAGTTGGCAAAACAAATTTTTAGAAGTGCAAGTGACTGCTGTTTTAAGTTGAAAATTGCTGAAACAAACTGAGCAGCAGACACAAATCTCACCTTTCTATGGGTTTTGCAGTATAGGACAAAAGAAATGGCCAGAAAATTCCAGGGTTGTCCAATTGCTTAGTTTAGCAATTTCAACTCCAGAAAAATCAAAGGCACTGTGCTTCCCTGATAGTCCAAATTACTGATAACACAACAGAAGTCCCTAAAATAGCCCACTGTGTACGTAGCAGGCTTCATATTCTGGGTTTAGATCAGTGCTGTGCTACTCATCTTTTAAATATAGCATGAACTGCCTTTCCTGGTTCTAAGGGAGTCTCTTCCCACTGTAATATCCCACAACACTGAGTAATAATTATATCCACGGAAGCACATTAACCTTAGTGCTAGTGCTTAAAATACCCATTTTGAAAGGAAAAGGTGTAAAACCTTCACAACTCGTTAAGTGGCAACCGACCTGTATTTCACAGATCTGTGTTTCTGCCTGCTACCGTGCCACAAAGACCTTTTTCACCTCACGCCTCGAAAAAAAGGAACCTTCCGGTGCAACTTAAACGCGAAAACACGGCTGAGAACGTTTTTCCTCCGGGCCGCGTGGCCGCCCCCCCCCCTTACCCAAGGAACTGCGCCCCAGAAGGTCCCACTTCGATGAGGCGGCTGGCCAGCCCTTCCCCTTCCACCATGGGGGGCATGGTGGCCAGCCGGTGGCGCTTCACCAGCCGGCAGGTGACGCGCGTCGGGGCCGTGCACTTGCGCGGGGGGATGATGATGCGCAGCCCGTTGTGCCGGCAGCCCCTCATGGCACCCCCGCGGGCGTCCACCATGAAGCTCACCAGGAAGCTGCAAAAATCAGGGAAAACCAGTCAGAGACGGAGCGTATGGTACGTTCCACGGGTGCGTTCCACATACGTAACGCGCTACGTATGTAAACGGGGCTCTTGCTCAAGAGGCACAATTAGAAAAAGCCTTTCTCCCATGGGAAGCACCAAATCATGCTGAGGTCATTTATTCATAAACGACTGCTACCTAAGTGTTCTTCACCGAAAGTCTTGTTTCACGGTGCTGCTGTTGGTAAAGTACCAGCAGACACCAATAAATGTGAGCCTGTATCACTCCTCGGTACCTGCAAACAACTGTGCTTAAAGTGGGCACTCATTAAATACTTCTCAAGCAAATATGTCTCACTGAAGGAAATTATTTATGATTCAAAAATATAAAGCCAATTCTGACAGGACGACGTGGGATTTTTGGGGGGGGGGTTCTCCATATAATTTTATGGTTCTTTGGTAAAATACAATTTTTAACAAAAATAGGTTTGGATATTAAAAAAAAAAATAACCAAATTTCATTCTGGAGCGTGCGGATACAATTCACACTCCATCATAAAAAAAAACCAGCAAGTCATTTGTGCTTGAAGACAAATTTTGGGTTTTGGTCAGACAAGAATAGCTACAGGCACCGTATAAGAGGGTGCGTAAGAGATTTATTTACGGATTTTTTGTTTGTGTTACTTTGCACACCAATGCAGTGTCCCACTGGAAAACGCAGAGATGCACAAAGCCATCTACAGGGAGCCCTCTCTTCTAGCACAAGGTAAATTATTTATTTCTTTTTCTTTAAGAGGGAGAAAAACATTTCATTTTGTTTGGAATTTCTTTTGTGCCTAATTTTTTGTAGTTCCACATATAATCAAACACAGATTTTGACAGATTTGGGACATTCTTGGGAAAGGTGTAGAACCACTTCCATTTTTTTTTTTACTGGTTTATGACTTAGGATCATGCCTGATGTGGGATGGGAATGTCAGGCTGCTGGAAGTGAAAGTAAGAGTAGAGGAGACAGAACGGTGTCAGGCCTAGTTCTAGCCACTAAAATAGAATCATCTCATGGGGAGTCGCAGAAATGCTACTGAAGGACCTGCAACAGAGAAAATATACTCCCTTGTAAGAGGAGTAACAAACACAGGGATTTTTCCACTGTCCCCTTGACCGTTCTGTGCAACAAACATTGCATCCATTCATTGTCCACACAAGGAATTCCACATGCTGTAAGAACACAACACTCGACACACCGTGCAAGTCAGAGGGATGGAGGATGGGAAGGAGCCACAAGCGCCAGTCGGAAGCACACCATGCACCACGGATGCCAGTCTGTCTCACACATGCAGTCGCCTAGTCTACTGCCATTCAGATACCTCTAGGCTTTGCTTAGTGTAAAACTCGGGGTTGTACAACCATTATCTCATTCCTTAGAGCTTGGTGTTTCTGTGGTTTTAACAAGGGGGGAAAAAAAGAAAATGAAAACATTTTACAGCTTCCATTGTCGGGGGGATTAGTTGAGAAGAATGGGAGCTTCCTTCAGAAAATACATTCTTTATACAGAGTAAAGCACAGATGAAAGAAGAGCTTAAGAGATACTAAAGTGCTCAATTGTTGCAGTAATGCTCTCGGCTTGCACTGCAATCGCCCGGTAAGTGCATGAAGTGGTGTTATCAAAGTGGTGCTGTTTCAGAGAATTGGTGCAGGTCTCCAGTACAAGGGGTGTTGTTTGAGGCAGTTAGTGACGCTGCTGGAGAAGGAGTTTCGCTGGAGAAGGAGTTTCACGTTTTAAAGCTAACGCTGTGAGCAACACAAACGCTCCCCCGCAATCACCAGAAGCTCTGACTGAACTGAAGCAGCATTCACATTTCTCACTGGGTAAGCTGTCATGAACACAATTCTAGGGAGTCAGTTATTCTCATTATTGACATAAGACTGTGTACTTTAACATCAGGATCACCTTCTGTCGCTGTCCAGTTAGTGCTGGGTCACCTGTCTACCCTATGTCCTCCTTATCTCCACATGTGCCTCAGCAATGCCAAACCCACTCTTAAGTGCCAGAGAAAAATACACAGGAAAGGTGGGGCTCCAAACCAAATCGTCTGCCTTCTATTAACATGGCTGCAACTCTTTCTCTCCGTTTAAGTTTACTGAAAGTGCCTGCTGGGTCAGTAAATCTATCACTAAGTCTATCAGTCATCTCTCACTGAAAGCAACCATTGCTCCAAAGAGTGGAAAAACAGGCAAGGACAAGTCTCACTGGAAGGAGGACACAAAGATAACAATGGTTAAAATAAAGACAGTAAGATGTTGTTATTATTATTATTATTGTTATTAACTGTAAAAACAGCTGTTTCTATCATAAGGAAGATCTAAAGTTGTTATTCAGACAAGCACAGAATAGTGTGAGCACAGCACAGAAAGATTAGTGCCAATTATCACATTATGGAGGAGCCAGTTCACAAACCCAGCTGTGTAATACTAGGAAATTCCTGGAAAACAGATTTTGGAGAACTACCACGAATACAGTGCAAAGGAAAGAAACTGAGGGGGAAAATTTCTCAGCTCTAGACCGCAGAGGATAGTACACTGACACAGGATCTGTAGAGCTGACACAGAGTGTAAAAACACATCCTTTTCCACCACACCACCCTGTTTATTTCCCACCTTGTTGCCATATCCATTTTGTCATGCACTTATTTAATCCAATTTCTTTCCATCTCTTTTTTTTTTTAATCAGCACATTTCACATACTTTTGGATATGCAAGAGGGTGAAGCCAATAATTCATAATAACGCATTTTCTAAATCACAGCAGCCTCTTTTCCTGCCTATTTTTTTACATAATAGGGCATCTGGAATGTGCCATTACTGTTCCAGGACCGGAAAAGCTCCTCCCTTTTGAAGGAGTGTGTCTATCAACACACAGATAATTCATACAAAACTAATGCATGATATAAAATATGCTTTCTGAAATGTGCATTTGGGAAGTGAAAAAACTGTATGACTAATATAAGGGAAATATAAAATGCAAACTAATTATTTTGCTGCCCACGCGCACACACGTTATTTTTCCTCTCTCCAACACTTCTTTTACCAGTGTTGTTGAGTGACAAGGCTGAGATAGGAAGAGATTGCACTCAACAAACAAAACTAGCAGGAAAAATTGGCAGATGAAGCCATCACTCTGCGAAGTGATACCTTATGGTGATAAATTCCCATGACCAAAAAGAAAATAATGCATAATAGCAGCATATTAATAACCCTAATATCCTATATACTCCCTGAAGCTGAGCAGGAAACTCAGAGCTTACCCCATGAGCCAACTGCATGGGGCACAACTAAAAGCAGTATCAACCATCTCTGTACAGAGAATTAAGAGGAGGGGGACCATTAAAGAGAAACACAAATGGTTCAAGAGGGGAAGAAAAGACAAGAAGGTAAATAAAGGGGATTAAAGGAACTTTAACTTAAATTTTAATTAAGTGATGATTCAAAGTCAAAGCAGATTTCGCATCTTTCTCAGTACTAAGACAGCCTTTGAGTAAGTTCCACTTCCAGTTTTGAAGGTTCTGGTAGAAATGAAGCATGACACAGACATGTGACCCCCACGGTCTTGCAAATTGGATCGATACTGAGCTTTCCTGGGATTTAGCAAGGTGGCAGTGCAACATAACAGCCAAATCAATGAAACAAATCAGGTCTGGGGAAATCACTGCCTCCTTCTTTTAAAGAGAATGAAGGGGAAATGAGGACTATATTTCTGAATAAAAAACAAAGTGCAAAAGCAATTATTTTATAAGAATCAGTTATAGACTGCAGGGGAGTCTATACATGCTTCTGTTAAACACAGCAGTCAGCTCAAGCATCATCCATTCCCTTCTAATTTAGCAAGACTTACTCAAAAATTAGAGGCCATTTCATTTTCCTCCACTTTAGAGCAATTAAAAACTACATACTTGCCATATGAAAGGTACCTATCTCAAGTAACACTGGCTACAGTGCCCCTCTGGTTGAGGACACACACAAAGGCCCCTAAATCTTTCAGGTTGTTTCCATTCCTTCTACAGAGAGCAGACAGTGAGGGGGTTTCTAATGGTTTCACTTGGAACACAACACAGACAGTATTACACATTGGATAGAAGGACAAAAAGTTGGGGTGTATTTTCATGAAATTTGTATTTCAGATCAGAGCCTGAGTTACTCCCTTTGCTGACTTAATTCACATAGAATTAACTTGGTTTTATTCTGTATCTATCCTTATTTGAAAGATAACAGCAGGATGAACAAATAAATTAAAAAAGGGATGTGTCAGTGCTGGAGGGGGTGAAGGAAGACACTTGTTGTGCGCTTTGTGAGGAGTCCCTGTCCTGTGAAGAGAGAGGCACAGCCTCAGGTGTTGGCACTCAAACACACGTCCCATTCTGCAGAGTCACTGGGAGAGCCATGCAAAACCCAGCAGGGGAAGGGGCTTCCTGGGACAGGCAACAGTTCTTGGAACACACAGAAGAGGCAAAATCTACACCACCACCTTCATACACTCGGCTCAGGTACGATTATTCTCTCAGACTGTGCAGCCACACATGCGCTCATCGGGCAGCAGGAAACAAAAGCTCCAAGGAGAGCACATCCACTGGAGACACACGATAGAACTTTTCAGCATTAGGTTTTCTGAACTTATAACAGAAACTGGGAAACAAGGAGATAGCAGCATTCAGTGTTAGTCGCGGTGTGAAGAAGCAGAAACAAACGATCAGGGTGCTTCAGCCATCCCAAAGTGTTCAGCAGGAGGAGGAGAACCCGGAGAGGCTGAAATTCCGAAAAAAGGCCTTGATCCAGCTCCCGCTGAAGTCGACAGCAAGTCATTCAACTACCTCAGCGTGCTTTCCAGCAGGCTGCAACTGTGCCATACAGAAACAAGGCAAAATACACATTCCAGGAGGACAAAAAACATGATCCTACGTGGGAAACCGCTACAGTATTGACTTCTGATAACATCCACTGCATTAGCCAGTTGCTGAGAGACTGAGTGACGTGGCCTAAAAATATGGGGTGGTAGTTCGGGGGTTCATTTAGCCATTTTACAATTTTGTACAGCTGAATATTTAAGGAGATTTTCACCTTTCTACGGTTATGTTAAAGGAGCTGAAGAGGTGGCAATAAACACTCAGTTTTGCCAAGGGAAGATAATCTCCTTTGGGAATGTTCAGCTTCAAGCACCGATTAACCATCACAGAGAAAAACACGTGTGGTATGAAAAATAATATACACTCAGCCTGGGCAGTTATTCTACTAGTTCAAATATGGTGGCACAATTGGGCAAATATGGCCTAGGGAGTGGCTCTGAAATATTCTTTATACAGAGAACGAGATAAAAGGCCCACTTGGTGATTTAACAATTACAGTGGTTTGTGTTGGGTTATTTGTGGAGGGTTTTTACCTTCCTTTAAATATTAATATTAAAGCATGCCACCAACAAAGAAAGGGTATTGTTAAATAAACCAGTGGTTAAAACAATCTAGGAATGTATAAGGAGCTTTGTTAAGTTTTTTTTGCAGTGGACTTATTATGTGTTCAGAACTCTTTTGTTATAGATGACAAAGCAGAGGGATCAAGTGGGCACTTACTGTATAAGAAGAGAAACAGGGCCACATGTAACTATTCCTGTTAGTTAAATTGATTTTTTTGTCTTGGCTAACGTGCACTATCAAAACACAAAAGCATCCTGAGGTGAGGTAAGAGGGGAGGATCAATAGGGTGGGTGAGAAGTGCAATGTATTAAAGAAAGAAATTATGCAGAAGTTCACCTGCTGTTGTCAAGATCAAGACATGGAGAAGAGCATCTGCAATAGAATAGATGATTTAACATCAAAAAGGAAAAGAAAGGGGGGGGGGAAGAATGAGTTAAATGAAATACTGAAATATTGGAAAAAAAATGAAACCGATTTCTAAATCAAACACATGAACATATACATATATGTGCATATTCATTCCGTGTGAGAAGGCAGGAGTGAGCATGGGAAACGAGCCTACGTAAACAGCCCTGGTTACAAACAGCCACTGCTGCTACAGGAGTAAAACTCCAGTGATCTGGGCCCTCTACAGACATTCTCCCACTGGAAGTCAGATGCCTGAAATGCACAGTTGGATTCTGAAGAAACCTTTGAGGAGCAGATCGGGGCAAGTCCTGCTGGGTTCAGGCATCCACGTGTGAAACGTGGGCCGTGATCTATCAGAGGGCAAGGAATCGAAGGTAATTCCAGCCAGTGTGTTCCTGATTACACGGTGAATCCTTATTTCTTTTCTTTGATTTCCCTATCTATAGCTCCTGTCCTCCCCTCTTCTCCATTTCAACATGTTTCTTGTCCTCCTTTTGTTCTGCAGAACGACAAATTCCAAGCTTTCAGTTTGACCTGTTTAGGCTCTCGGTAATCACTCGGTGTCACACGGACAGTTAGTTTTCCAATGTCCCTTTTTCTATGGATCTCCATTGCCATTTTCTTCCATTAACACCAATTTGTTATTAATGAAACACACCCGCTCTTTTTCCTTACTGTAACTTTCTGAACAAAGGTCATAAAGCTACAGCAAAATTTGAAGTCATTCAGACTTTCAGATTTAAGAAATGACTATCAGCTGGTCGCTGCCAGGTCCTGTTTCCATAACGATTTCCAGGAAATCAATCTCACATTGGGAAAAGCAATGTTATGGATTCAAAATACAACACTTGAAATAGATTTTGATTACCTTGTTAGCAAGGATCCAGCCTCCTTTTTTGCAGACATGCAGCTAAGAATGATAATTCACATTATTTGTCACAGTATGAGACGACCAGTCCCTCATCCTTCACCTTTTTTCATTGATGGAGGCAAGGACTTCCAGAAAGACAAACTCACTAATAATATCCCAACTTTTTTTTTAAATATAGAAATACTGATACTGTTAAATCATCAAATAGTCAAATAAGGACTTCTCCATCAAATTATATATATTCAATATCTTTCATTAAATAGGAGTTTTGCTGGAACATTTGCAGAGCTGCTACGTATTTTCTCCAGAACACAAAATCAAGTTAATATCAAAGCCTGGACCCAAAGCTAACTTAAAAGAAATCTTTCAGTTCAGTGATTTTTTTGCCTTCCCACTTCAAGAAAATTTGTTCTTCCACAATAGGATATGGTGAGGTATGTGATTAAGACTGTGAAACGTATTTGAATTACGTAGGTGTAGTTCTGTCTGTCACAACACTTCAGCAGGAAATTATAAATAATATCCCCTAATATCACCAGCAAAGCGATAAAACTCTTATCTTATTGGATATTTAGCACCCAAACTTTCTGGTATATTCAGAGGTCCTTAACTTAGCTCATTATGTAAGATCAGATTGTTTTATCAGGAGAAGCAAATCTGATTCACTGAAAGGGAGTTTAAATGCAGGAATTTATATTTTTACATTCAGCCAATGCATGAAACTACTCAGAAACTGTCAGCTGTGTAAAACGTCCAGGAGATCTTTATGTTGAGATTTTGAGCACCACAAGAATGTCACCTCTTAAGAGAGAAATATTTTCTGGGTTTTGAAACAGTTGCCAACGACTGACAAAAGATGTTGCTTTTGCTTCCTTACTGATGAAATTATCAACACATTGAAACAGTAGTTACATTCACTTTCTAGGTGGACAGTTAAAACATTTTCCCCTTCTGAAATTTTAGACATGGAAGGGGTTTTGGTCGGTTATGCAAAGGCTGAAATATGTGCCTGTGAAATTCCACACCGAGAGAACAGTTCTCTTTGAATTTATGCTTTTGCTGGGGGTGATCTGCAGAAACACTTCCCTACAACGGGACATCAGTAAGAACCCAACAACAATTTGGAGTTTACCACTGAAACATGCAGGGTGTCATTTTTTTCCTCAGATTGCACAGAATACAAACTTAAAATCTTCTGTGACTAGTAATTCATGTCCAATGCCTTGCTGATACATTATTTCACAATCTGAAGTCAATACATTTTCAGTGTCTTGGGCAAAATCAAGGCCAGACCTTTGCCCAAGGCCACTGACTCTGTTTACACAGGATTTCTTTGAAAATTTTTTCTTTCATGGCAGATAAATACTCTTCTACTGCATGCACCCAAATGTTAGCAGTGCTGCTGGTTCAGAAGAACCTACTAATAGTGTGTGTCTGCCTGTGGAGGAGGGTGTGGGTGACAAGAAGAGTATAAATGACAAATATATTTGTTGTTCCAGTACTTCTACAACTGTTTCACTTTCAAAAGCGAACTCTAGTAGTCAATGTGCTTTGCTAAATAAAAACAGATATATACCCCAACAGTTTATGATGATTTGATGACTTGGACAAATCTAAACAAGATAAAAATGGTGTGCAGTCTTTTCCAAAGGTTAAGGGATCATTATTATAGGTTTCTTTATTACAATATTTAGTGGTAAGTGGTACATATAGAAAGAGGAACATAATTTGTGTCATGTTAAAGGTCACTATTTAATATAAGGCTTCAGGAGTGTTGCTCCTATTAAAATCAGATATCTTCTCCTACCACTAGCATCTTGGTCATCCCAAAAGATCGAAATATCACTAATATAATTTAAAAGAAAACCACAAAATTACTGCACATCCAAGAAATAAATGCCACTCTCCTAGAAAGTCCTTAGTTCATCCTCTGCAATCACAGGCAAGACCTACCTTTCTGAAAGGGAAAACTAATACATCCTTTGGAAAAAGTTTGGAATCTATGTAGGGTTAGAATAAAGCACCAAAGCAATTTTAAAGCTTACCAGCATATATAGAAACACATACATACTTTACATATTAAGTATTTTCATTTCATTTGTTAGTTCTAGAGCTCATGAAAAGCAAATCCAAACAACACTGGTCACAGCCAAGTATCCTCCCATCAGCCAACAAAAATACTTGTCATCTAGGTCACATCAAGCAATTTGCAATCACAGTTATGACAATATTATTCCTCCTCTAGACCTGTCATTCCAAATGGAACTCCAGTGCTATGTTAGGAAAGATATGGACTGTAAGATAGTTGCAAAGTCATTTGAGATTAACAAAACTCATCTTTCCCCTTGTGATGTCCAGCCATGCTGTGCACAACGTGGTGTCACAGAAGTTAAAGGCTTTTTAATTACACCCGTTCTTTTATCAACTCATCTGCGTGTTTCTAATTAAACCTCACGGCAGAACACAAGTGTAGAATTCAGTGTGAAAACCAGAATTACTTAAAACACAACGAGTATGAGCATTTAAAAGGCCAACCAGGATAAGTTTTCTAAGCATAAACTTGGCTGAGCCTGCAGTTTGACCTGCCTTATGCCACGACAACGGGCTTGCCTAAATGCAAATGCTTATGAAGAGTCAGTTGTGATTATACGTGAAGAGAGTACCCAAATATACACAAAGCACAGGATGTTTAGGTTGCTTGCCTATTCCTGCAATTTGAAAGGCAAACACCAGAGTCGGTGCTCACCTAAACTACTCCACTAGCACGGTAAGTACTCATCATCTGGAATGATTAGGCCCTTGATCTCAATTATTGCTAATTCCAAAGAGGCTCTGATTTATTTCTCCATAAAATTCACACAATTCCTGCGTGTATGTGTCAATTATCTTATTCATTCCTCTTGAACTTGACTCAGGGCTCACTGACTTGCAGCAATTTCAGTGAACAGTCATGGTACTCAGGTTTGCTTGACTGTCAGAGCTTAAAGAGTTCATAACAATTTATTGACAGCTCCAGGAGGTAAGGAATTAAAATACAGCTCATAGCTAAGCATTAGTTGAAGCTGCTGCCACTGCAGGTACTCTCCTTCTCATTTTTAAGTAAAATGCTAATTGATACACTCACCCTGAGTGAATAGGGCTGGAAGAAAGAGCCACATTGTCCAAGTTTTCAGGGCCCCAGCTTAAGCGATAGGAATTCCTTTCAGATTCTTTGGCCAGAGTTGTTACCTTAGGAAGCAAAAAAAAAAAAACCCCAACCCTTTTTACTGCAATGAAATCAAATAATCAACCGAACAATAAGACGTATTTTGCTTAGCAGTGCCTAAAGCATAAAATTTTTTTTAAAAGAAAACAAAGGAGTAAGAATAGCATCAAGATATTAGAAACCCCTTATTGCAACATTCTGCATTTGCTTAAAGTAATCCTGTGTTAGTGGTATCAGTGAAATGAATGCTGTGATTTACCAAGAGGGCATTTCCTAAATCTCTTTTTTTAACTAAAAGCATGTTTCAGGAAAGTATCTTAGAGTACAATGGCTGTGAGTTCATTAGAATGTTTACCCGACGGCTGTAGCAACATTCAAAAATCAGTTCAAAAGGAGAAAACATTAAGAACACAGTCCTTGTAACTCACACAGCTCAGCCACTTATTTTGGAATCGAGTTTAACACTGCACAGTACAATATGCTGTTAAATATCAGCACAAACAGAGAGATTTGTATTACAATAAACAAGCAGCGAACACCACACAGACTCCTCAGTGCAGTTTACGCCGAGATCTTTTTCCCTGCCCCGACTTCTCCCGGCACCCAGCGAGTCCAGGGGGTTTTTCTCTTACCTGCTGGCTGGGGATCACCACGGTGTCGTCGATCATGGCGCTGTCCCGCAGGTAGGAGGCGTGGCTCAGGGTGTGGGACCTGTCTGAACTGAAGGACCGCAGGCTGGCAGGTTGGTAGGATGCCACAGCAATGCATCAGCAGCACAGATGATGTTGGGAAGGTGTCATGACAGAGCGAGTGGGAGAATGAAAGAAGCGTGCAATTAGCAACGGGATGCAGCTTCCAGGGGGAGCAGATCCCAGTCCCGGGGGAACACGGCGGGGCTGTGCCACAAAGCCTCTCCACTGACTCAGTTGCTTACTCACAGATACTTTAGGCTTGGCTTTGTAGCATGACAGTTTCCTTACAACAAAATGCATTAATTTCTTTTAAGCAAGGCTCTCCGGAGAAGTTCTCCACTACGTCCCGCAAACCACTGCGGAAATCCAGAACGCTGCCACCTGAGGAAAAGCTGGAATGACTCTTGCCCCCTGACCTACTCTCTCCCTTTAAAACTGTAAATAAGCAAGCTTGACATTGTCCCCTGGAAGGTACACACACGGCAAGGTGAAGTGTGGCCAGCCACAAGCTCCTGTGGAAAACAGGACTGTTCCTGTGAATGCCAGCAGCATCTTTAGGGAGGCAGTCCAAATGGGAGCACGGATCTCGCTGTAAGTACGCACAGCTCCACAGAACACCGGTTGCTGTAGCAATGAGAGGTGCAAGGCAGTAAATAAGCTGCTTCCAAGCACTGGCTCAGAATGTAACTGCAGCATCCACCAGCAAAAAGCAAAGAAAAAAAACCAGACAAACAGGACGCCACAGAAGGACATGTTGAGGTAAATGGGGTTTCTGCTACCAAACAGCACTAGTTTTGTCCCTTCGATATTCACTGGCTGCAGTTTTACAGGAGTGGTTTTTAAAACCAGATCAGCCACCTTCAGATGCTGTACGTGTACTCTGTGATAGCTCTAGAGGAATATAGTACATACAACTGAAGGCAGCAGTTTTGTTTTCCTGGCTCACACATCCGTGAGTAGTACTGAGAATGAGTAATATGCGGGATCAGAACAATAGGCCATTTATCTGGATACACAGACTTTTAAAGGATAATTCATTTTCAGAAGTTAGCAAGTCATGCATTCACTACAGACATGAGTTTCAAGTGCTTTAAGTGCAGTTCAAATACCATCTGATTCAGACCACTCAGCCTTTTTTAACAATAGCTACATTCACTCAGGTTTGGGGGTTTTGATCCGTTTTTAGAAGCAAACGGGTACCTCATTTTTATTAGAAATATATGACATGGAAGAAAAATGAATGCTCTGGATGACTGACTCATACCAAAGGCCTGTTTAGCATCCTAGATGGACTGTACAAAACTGGAAGCAAAGACAGGCACTACACAAGGATCAGGTTTTGGAAAGTCTTGAGAAAAAAACGAAACCACCGTTTGTTCTTTGGCTGAGAAATGAGCCTCAGTAGCAGACCCCATTTGCCCTCATTATCCTGTGTTCATTTCCACATTTGACACTTCCAGAACTGCTTTGCTGTGCCATGCAATGCTTGTGAGAGAGTCACCATCCAAGTTGTAGGTTCTGCTATTCAGCTACTGTCATGTCCTGGACAGACACTGAATGAAAGGAAGTCTGAACTAAAGTTGGCTGGTTATCTCCACGGTGATTTTGTCCACCTTCACTGCTACTACCACCACAACAAGTATATATCCACTATGTACTACCTGTACATAAGCTCCAGTAAATACATCAAAGGGTATGGGCTTTATCCACAGGCACACACAGGACTGAGGTTTGCAGTTAATCAGAGATTTAAATTTCCTTCTAAACTCAATTTCAAACCTAGTGTTCAGACAGCACTGCCCCTCTCTGTGTGATGGACCAGCTAAACGAAGAGCAAACCAGTAGTTAAAGACTCAGAAATAAAGGTACTTCAGGAATCCTTTTAAATAAAATAAAATAAAATAAAAAAACCTACCTAAATCAGAGCCAAAAATACCATCTAAATACAGATTCTTTCCAAATCTGGTTGATGAATTTTAAGTCACAGAAGCTGTGGGGCCAATAACATTCAACCACAGAGATGGAAGTGTGGAACCCAGGAATGCTACAAAGCTCCTGAATGTAAAAGTGTGCCTTATGTATCACCCTTCTCTTCCAAGCCCTTAACAAGGCCCAGGTTATATCCAGAAAATCTAAGCAGCATTTCTTAGCCTAGTTTCTAACCTGGATACCTGGGAGACCACGCTGCAGTGCACATCCACCAGCCTAGAGAGATCTAACCAGCTCTGGTCCAGTTAAATGTAATTCCTGTTCAAGTATATGTTGTTTCAGAGGCTGAGAAAAACACTGGTATCATTGAAAACTGTACAAATCAACCTTGAAAACGTTTTCCAACAGCAGCATCTTTCATTTGGTCCTCCAAACCAACTTTCTGGCATACAGCAGGCCTCCAAAGTGGATGAACAGAGACAGGTGCCACAGAAGGGTATAGAGACAACAGGTGCTCATGCTATGTGATACCTACCTGGGCATGATGCTAATGAAAGCATATGGAAAAGAAAGAAAAATGAAGGGGAGAGAGAAATAAAATAAATAGGGAAGATGGTTACAAATGAAAAATATATGTTTTGAAATCAAATTGATCAATGCATAAGGTTACATGAGTCTAGACTGCTAATGCTGTTCTGCTTTACTGAATTTCTTGGAAAACCAAAGTCGGTATAATGCAGTGAAAATCACATTAAAGCAAAACAATGTGAAAATTCTTAAAACCAGTAACCTGAAGGTGACAGAAAATGAGACCATGGAGTTAGAAAGACGTTTTTCTTCTTTCATTCTTTCTCCCTTTATAATTTTGCTTCATTTCAGTATAATCATTCTAAATGGGAGTTTAACTTAAACTGGCTTAAAATCTGCGTGCACAATCATTTGTATACATCATCTTAAATAAAATGTTTGTTACTGTGGAAAGAACAAAAGGGTTTGATTTTAGGCACTCTGCTGTAGTTCATAAAGTTCCTCTAGGAGTTAAAAAGCCACAGAGTCACTTTGTTTTCAGTAGACTCACTGGAACTGCCTAAAAACCAGCAAAGACTCCAGGCTTGTGAGACCTGAATGATGGGATTTACACATGCTGTGAGGAAAACCAAACTGTTTCCTGACATCTTTTGTTCCAGGAGCAATTCACAGCCTACTGAAGTAAACAGAAGGGATCCTACTGATTCCACTGAGCCTCAGAGATGCTGCCAGAATAACAATCAAGACTGCAAAACGAGGTAGGTTAAAAATTCTGTTGCCAAGACTTCCACTTTTTTCTTTTATTCCCTTTAGTGTACCCCAGTTCTAAAGGCAGTAAGTCCGGAGACACTGCTGACTTACAGCAGCCATTTCACACCCAGGAGTGCCCGGGTAGCTTTTCAGAGCTAGAACTGTGGGTGTTCCTCTGCCACCTTGAGTGAGAGACCCTGAAAGGGGGATTTCAAACGTTTGTAACAAAATGAGTGTGGAATTATCGCAAGAAAAGTGATGTTTCCAGACAATACCTGTCCGATCGTCCTCCTTCCAAGCTGTACCTCAGGTAGTTCATACCATCCAAGAACTGGCTGCTTGGCAGAGAGTCATCCCCTAGTTCTCGGAGATCTTCTGGCCTAAGGTACTCTCCCCCATCTCCTGTCATTGTGTCATCACCTGTAAATCAACCACAGAAGGGACAGGGCTCAGCACACACAGGGGTGCGACTCCATCTGCGCATCGGGATCCAACAGCTGGACAGCACAATAAACAGCAAGGCCTTTCTCACTCAGGGAACACTGCAAACCACAAGCAATTAATATATGTAATGACACTGCCACATCAAGCAAGATATTAAAACAAAAATTGAAATCAAGGTGATTAATCAATTAGATTTAATCTATTGTTTGCTGTTGCACGTACTGCTAAGGGGCACATTTCTTTGCTATTCTGTAAAGTCTCTCTGTTCCTTAAATCTATTTCAGCTCTCTGGTCACAGCTATGCTTTATCCCAGCCTGACAGTTTATGGTTAAATATCCCCACTTATTTGACTGTAATCTGTTTGTTTGCAGAAGAAAACATGTTTTCTGTGGCCTTATGCCTTATAGTTGCAAATCCTAATTTAAACTCTCTGCTGTCCAACCTCCACATCATATGAGGCTCTCTCACCCATGTTACAACATCCTTCTGTGATCAGCAAGAAAATTCTTATTTCTAAAACACAGCAACATCCAGAAACTGGAAATAAGCTCACCTGCATAGATGAGAATGATGATTTTTCAGAAAAGTAATTCCTAACAAATCACAGCCTAAATGACCATTCTGACACAGTAACCTTTGTGCATATACTCTGAACAACTGGGTTTAATCTTTTTTTTTTTTAGGTCCAAAATTATTTTCCCCAGGAAATTCTGTCTATATGAAGTCACAGTTTGCTTTCCCCAGCAGACTAACAAAACAGATCCCATTGCCAAGCAACACGTAGATGTTTCTTTTCATTCCCATTTGCAAGATGCCTTCTCTCCACAGTTTCCTCCTGGATATTTCAGTCATTTTCCCAATTACTGGATGAGCCTGCCACACCCTAGGCCACGGATGGCTTCAAACTTTCTCATTTTCTAAGCTGTGTGGGCAAACTGGAGGTCATCTTGATATTTGTTTTCACAAAAACAAATCAAGCTACTTTTACTAGCTTGATGTTTCAGCTAAGAAATAAGTAATTTCTTATTTGTCATCTAAAACTAAGTAAACTTTGGGGTGGTTAAGACTTTTTTTTGTATACACTAATATTATATGTAAAAATGAGGCTTGACTCTTTTCAGTCTAACAACAAGAGCTCTTGAAAATTCCATCTGCCCACATGAAGAGGGAGAAACTGGGCACAGTTTCACAGAAAACAATAAAATGCATTTAATCATTTCATGTTTCCTGTCTTCTGACAGATGATGCCTCCTGTTTCCTGGGAATGTCACTTTATAAAGCACAGGGCTTAGTGAAAACTTGGAAGATATTAAGGCAATGCTGTTAATCAAACAGTAAAAGGAATTCCAAGCTATATTTCAAATAAACTAGATAATTATAATCATGCCAGACATTCCATCTATAATAGAAACAAAGGCAAAAATCTTCACCACTTTCATCACACCCACATCCTTAAAAAAAAAAAATCCAAAGTCTGCTCTTATTCCAGCTTTGGCCTCTCATCTAAGAGTTGTCAATACCAGGGCTAAGTACCTCTGTTTGATGTGCTGGGAACATCTGCAAACAGTAACCAGACTATCCATGGATATCCTTCAACAGCAGACTAATCTTGAGGGAACTAGAAGATAAAGTCACTCCCCGCCAGCCCTTTGTGCCCTTCCACCTTTCCTTAATGAGATGAACTCCCAAGGAGTTCCTTATAGGATATGAAGGGGAAAACCACATACTTAAACCTCAGTGATTGCACATTCAGCTGACCAAGGCCTTCCTTACACAGCAAATCTTACCAGATGGCGGCTTTGTGGCCATACAAGAAATTATCCTTTTTAATTGTGCCAGAAACGATTTGTCTGCCATCACATTCCCCATCAAATTGATGCCAGGAACATTTTCACCACTCACACTAAGCAGTCTGGGACAAATATAACCCTTGACACTGGTGCTCCGTTGTTTGCAGTGGCCACCTGTGAACTCACGAGTAGATTTTGAGGAGTCACCTGCTTATTGATTTATCTTCTGTTTCCTAGAGAGAACACCTTCCCAGCTGAACCCCTGCACTTGCTGCTGCCGCTGTCGAATGTCTGAACACAGTTCTGAGCATTTTAAATCACTGAACGGACTTCTAAGTGACACAGGATACATTGTGAGATCACATATCTGCTCTGTCAGCGAGAGCTTGGCTGGACACACAGGATTTTACTGAACCCCAGGAACTGGAGACCCACACTGATAGGGCTGTACTGACATCTGCAGAGTCAACTCGTTCAGGGAAGGCTCAACAAAGGCACTTCCTACCATTCCTACACTGCTTCTGCTCATAAATGAACTGCAAAACACAACTGCTGTATGAGAATTGCTCTGGAATTGTTTCTCACAAAACACAGAGAAAATGTAAGCAAAAGTTAAAAAAAAAGAAAGAAAGAAAAGGGTCTGTGTCAAACTGCCAGAAATCGTTTCTAATAGATGTTTTTAAAGCCAGATGAGTTTGCCAAAATTATTTTCTCTACAGCATGCAGATAAGTCTACAGCTCACCACAGAAGTGCTGCTCCTTAAAGGTAACAGATGGAGAAGGGAGAGCTATGGCAAGAACAATTTTTATGGAATGTGTATACTCCAGAGTTTCTGTGACACTTTCCCTGGACACCTTCACTTCCCTAAAGTCAATTCTCCACTTAATGGCCCACACTAGAAGTTTCCCTGGATTACAGTTTGGCTAATGCTTTAAATTTTCTTTACTTTTAGCCAGTCAGGAAAGCAGAGTTTCACGCGTGGTTTCAGATATTAATGCACTGAACAGCTCCTGGCTCCAACTTTAAGTTCCAGGATTAATTAAGGAAATTAAGTTTTCCCACTAATTAAGGTGCTCCTGCAGAGGAATTATGTGCACGTACACCAGCAGTGACTTGTGCCCATTTCTCACATATATGCAGCAGTATTTGCTACTCCAAGGCCATGTAGGGAGGCACTCAGGAAATTCACTGTTGTATTTTAGCACTGTGTTTTTTTTTTTTTCCTTTTTGATCAGAAATCTGATCCAACCAGGTATGGATTAGCTGCTTCCTGGAAATCTCAGATCACATTACCATGTCCTTAAGTGACACAGCAGTTCACAGACCTGCCACCCTGTCACTGATGCACTTCCCCGAAGGAACAGCAAATCCTGCTTTTACACAGAAACTATTACAGTCAGTATGTTGGAACCAGGCACAGGGTTGACTCCTCAGCAATTTCTGGACAAGTTTCCCTCATGAAAAGGACAATTTTTGTTCTACTGATACTGGGATTCCAATGGGTTTTTGAGAGTCCAGTGACTACTTGCACATGAAAACCTCTGTCTATCCCTTCTCTGCAATTGAAATATCAGCATTAATTACTGTTTGGTGTGAGCTGACCTTCATGGTCATGCCCATCTCAGGCCATGTTGCTTCTGACAGTCCTGTCTCACCTTCTGCTTCAGCCTTTCTAGTCCCGTCTGCCTGCAAAAGTCATCTGGCCAGAAAACAACTTGTCAGTACAAACAAAGAGATTAATTTGCAGACAGGTCAGTTCTCTGGCTTGGTTCCCTACGTGGTGACACGTTTGTGCTGCCAGAATGGAGGACGAGGGGAACCACAGCCAGAACTTGACTGCTTCTGCAGCAGCCAGAACTGAGTCTCGAATAGGAAGGGAACCTACAACTTTGGAAAATTAGCTGGAGATGAGGAGGCTCAAAGAGAAACTAATGAGAGCTCTTGAACATCCTTTTAAAATAACGCATGGAACGAGTGCATAGAAGCATATTAATATATGGGAGGAAAAAACAAACAGGTTGCTGTCTTTTCTAGATGTTCCTGTGTGTCTACACTGACTCAGCCCTAACAAAAACATCTGCTTGTGCTCAACTTCACTAATTCCCCAGACATGACTAAAATACATTTCACGAGATGCTTTGCAGTAATTCCCCTCTGCTACTCTAAGGATCCCTGGGGGGGCCAAGTGTTTCTTTTGTGGCAACAGCTTTAAAGGAACTCAACTTTGCAGCAACACTCACAGCCAAGGCAGATGCAAAGACAAAAATGCACAGGTTTTTTTTTTAGTGCAACTGTATCCACACCAAGCATTTCTGCTGGCATGGGTGTACCTTTCTCAAACCACATCACTTAACAGCTCTGCCTATGGGAATTTGTAGTGCAATCCCCATTGATGAGGATCAAATGCCATTAAGAAAAAAAAAAATTACCTAATTCTGTTCAAATGAAAGATTATCTTTTTCCAGGTATTGTAAAAGGTAAAGAATTCTGAATAATAATACATATGATAAACAGAAAAATGCTGCAAGAAAATTGAGGAAAAATTAGGAGGATTCTCAGTCCATGCAAAATATTTTAAAATAAGCTACAGAGGGCAGGACCTGCCAAATCGAGCTGAGCTATCTGATAGATTATTTGGTGCATTATTTTATCTGGTTAACATGGGATGTTGCACTTCTGCTTGTTGTAGGAATAGGAATGTTATGTTAACAACAGAACAGCATGCAATTATGCAACATACCTATTTTCCAGGCACAATACAAAATACTTATCACCAGTGGTCAACGGGCTCCACAATGGAACATGAACCCCTTCTTTGCTCAAGCACTCTTGTGTTTTACTCTTGGTAATTATGTAACTACAGTTGGCAGGTTTAGGTGTCACATCAATGTATTTCAGAACACATTGTGTCACTTGAAAGAACACAGAGCTAGAGAAATCTTATTGCTGGTCTCGTACAAAGCTACACTGTCACTGAAAGGTTCATCCCCTCCATTAAAAGAGTTTTTGCAGTCTTCCTGTCCCCAGCTATTTTAAGCTCCTGTCCCAAGTACCATCCACCTTAGGACTCTTTGCAGGGAATGTTAATTCAAAGCACTGGAGAGCATTAGTCATGCTGGACAGCCCCTTCAAGTTCTGCCAACATATTCAAGATATAGGTAATAAATCTGAGCTTTCCTGGCCTCCCTTCTTCCTCCCACCTTTCAGGAAACACACACTCAGCCACACTTCAAAAGTAACGGAGAGGAGCAGCGTTAGGCACCCAGAGTATGCAAACCTGTGTTGTTTCAACACCAAAAATAAACCAAACAGTCCAGGTTAAACAAGAAGAGAAAGTTTGTAGGGCTTACTCCACGAACTCCTGCTAACAGCACCTGTGCCATTACACGCTTCCCCATCACTGAAGGGTTCATCATCAGAGTGTTTAAAGGCTGTACAACACACAAATTGGTTTGAGAAAAGGGAATACTCTGGATTAATCCTGTAGAAGCAGAAAGACGTACCAGGCTTTGTGGACTTAAAGATGGTTCAATGGTAGATTGAAAGACTGGGAATAAACTCAGCAAGGTGAACATAAAGCTATAAGCAGTTTAAAGGCCATTTGTCACAATAATTACACGAGTAGTTGAATTGTTTCTCAGACACAAAGCAGCAAAAACGTTCCCGAGCAGAATAATCTCAACGGTCATGATGCAGCAGAAAATAATTGATTTTGAATCACACTTGTTTTGCTTTCACATTTGAAAACAAGAAGTTGCATCTGGAGCCTAAGCATCGTTATTTCCTCAAGAGTCTAACTCATTTATCAGCAGAAATCCCATTTCTAAAAGCAATGCAAGAAGTTGCATTGGCACTAATGAATGCCATTAACTTCCTGCACCATTTAGAACCACAAGTGCATTTGCATTCTTTGTAAAATTAAAAAACCCAACCCTGTAACCCGTGTTCCCAAATCCCCAGGACTTGTTGGAAATTAGTCACTCTACAAATCATTTGCACGAAATAATAAAAACAACCATAAAATAGCATATGTAAGATACTGCAATATTAATTAACACTGCCAAGAGTAAAAAAGAACATAGAAGATTCTTGCAAACATGTTCATATTTATCAGATGCCATGTGACTGAACTGTCTAAGCAGTCACTTGTGAACTTTGAAAAAGGGACATTTTTAAGCCTTTTCTGTAATTCTGTGCTGTACAAAATTGCAATATTTTATCAATTCTTCCAGAAGTTCACAGATTATTTTCTGGGGATGTTGCTAAGCAGTACAACACGTGTCTCCTGTCTGTCCATGTAATGGACTCTGAAACCCAAGTGCCAAACTTATTAGCGTGTTGTTACTTTGTGTCATGCCTCATGTATCCACGAGTCCTGTGTGCCAAAAGCTCCCTGGAGGGAACAGCCTGCTCACCTTCCACCTTATGCATCTCCTCACACAAATGTTTCCAATTAGGCAGAATTCCTAGATATATGTATCTGATACGGGTGGCACGGGGCCAAAAAAATTACTGCTCAGATTCCTCTTCGTGGGAGGGTCAAAGTCAGCTCTGAGAAAGCTCTACATTGAAATTTTACAATCTGAAGTTGGGAAACGTTCACATTTGTTGATTTGGTTCGGACAAGCTTTTTCTGAAAAAGATGCAGGGGTCCAGGATTTTGCTCTAGGTCAAATTTTGGCATCTTTATCCAAATGCTACGATGATTACATCATTTTAAAAAGGCATTTCAAGCACTGCAAAATGAAGGCATCAAGGAACTTGGGCAGCTTCTCGAGGTGACATAAGTGATATGGAATTTAACAAAGTTGCTCACCTTCTTCATCCGACACATCCAGGACCTCAGTCATGGTCTCGGGGACATTCAGCTTGTGCTTCTCTGTTACAGTCTGCAAAGACAGAACCATCAGTCCTCAAATGAAACACCAAACAGAGCAGCAAAGTTTACAGTGGGATATTTTCAACACTGACAGCAGGGGGATGTGCTGAGGCACTTCATACTGTGTATCCCCCTCCCCTAACTCTCCCTTTCATCTGTGCTCCAGAGGCTCCCATTCTCAGTGCTGTGTAAGGTAACATTTCTACTGGCAGAAAAGTACAAAAAACATAAAGATAACGTGCTGGTCAGAGGCATAAAATTTACTTATAAGTGGTGCATGTAGAACAATTCAGCTCCATGTTTCCAAGATGATTTTAAAGGGAATTAGGTAATGTCTACAGAAGAGCTTCAGAAAGTTGTATGTGGCATATGGAAATTATTAAATCGTAAAGCATTTGGAAATGAAGTTATGAATGATGTGAAATTCCTAAACTAAAAAAAGATGTGAGGGATTTACACAGATCACTTGAAACATTTCTCTTCCCCCCCCCAAAAAAATGCCTACACTGCATATTAATGATATCCTTTTCATAAATCACGTACATTCCCCCAAAGCATGTACACATCAGAAGGAGAAAAAAAGGTTATTTGAAGACTCTGATATATTTTGTGCACCTAAAAGCTTAAAGCATTGTGAATCAAGGCAAGCATGGACTGAGGAATAGTGGGAGAACACTGATTAAACATGAGAGCACAGGGCGGGAGAACACTGGAAGATATTTTTTTATATAATTTTATCTTCATAAATGACTTCTGGGACAAAACAGATGATGTTCAGGGGTGCTGAATCAAGAATGGGGACATCCTTTCAGCACCAAGACAGAGTCTGGAGAGGGACATGCAGAACACAACGAGAGCAACTGTAGGAAGTGCGAGGTGTGAGAAAGTTGCCTGAGGAAACTCTTGAGCGTGTTACGATACGGGACACAAAATGCCAAGGGCTTCAAAAAAGAGCAGTTTGAGCAGAACTGCATTAGTCACAACCAAAAAAATAACAATTTCCCTGGCTCCACCCAGCTGTGCAGCCAGTCAGCTGAACTGGGGAGCTGTGGAGGGCAGCACACACATGGCCTTTAAGGTCTGTGGGAGCAGATGTGCCCCTCTGGCACAGAGGAGAGTGCCAGGAGGCCACGTGTGTTTCCTGGGAAGCTCCCACCGTGGCAGAGCTTCAGCCTCTGCTGTAGGCAGTATCTATCCTGCAGAAATTACCATTACATGCAAAAGGAGGGAAGGAGCATAAAGTGAGAGGGATAATTAAAAAGTCAGCCAAACCCCGAGTCCCTTGTGCAACATTCTTTTGGGAAAATGCCCACTGATAGCAACAGTGAAGTCAACAGCAGTTTTTATTGCACAGAATTTAGTAGTTATTTCCTGATCCTGTTGTATATATTCTCTAGTTCTAACAAACCCACAAAGACAGCATTCTTGATTATTGTAACATACTGCACTTCCATAAACAGCTATGTTACCAAGCGTGTAATTGCTTTGCAACTTTGTTTTAAAAGCCTGCTTCACGTTTTTGAAATCTATTTAACTGTGACAGCAGTTTTGAGTTCACCCTCCTGAGGAACGGGGAGAGAACAATGCCCTTTGCCTCAACTGGCAATCCCAATTAGGCCCCCCCAAGTTCACTCTTACCCAGGAGTAAAGACAACTAATTATTTCTGTTGCAGCAGAACACGTGTTCGGGGTTGAAAACTAGTTTATATTCACCGAATGCCTCCGCCAATATGTCTGACTTTTCCCCCCGTATTCCCATGGCTTTCCTTGGATAGAAATGTCAGGCAGCAGTGGGGTGATGAGGCCAGCAATGACAGATGGGGAGGGTGCTGTCACTCAGGTGACACTGACCTTGTCCCTTCAACAGCACAGTTAACAAATAAGTTAGACAATAAGCTAAAGCAAACCACAAGCTAGAGGTATAGAGGCTCGCTGTATACTTCTCTTTTACCCTGCTCTATTTACCATTTACATCAATTTATTCATAACTTAGGTTTTTACAGGCCCCTAGATAACAACAGTCTGGCCTCTGACTAAGGCTCTCAGACATTATTATTTATTAACAGAGAAGCAGGGATACTTTATTTACTTCCTGACTTTCCCATCGGTCAGGAAAAAAAATTATTACCTAATTTAACAACTGAAAGGAAGTTTGGAAAAGAGACTCAAAAGAGTGTGCACGTGTGTGCTTCAGAAGAAGAAGAAAAAAATCTGCAAGGCCCACTTTGGAACACTGAACTCAGCAAGAATCATTCATTCTACTTAATTCCTAATTCTACTTCATCATTAATTCTACATTAATTCTAATCCCAACAACTTCTGTTGGGAATTGATGCTTTAAAAAGGAACTTCTAATGTTAAACTAGAGTTTTTTTAATTGATAGGCACATCAAATACTCTCAAAATTTAAGATCTACATCTAGCACCGTGAGACCTGGAAAATTGCTCAATGTGTGTTGCTTAAACTCCCTACTGTTTGGTGCCACTGAGAATTCCATTATGGACTTCAAGCTTCTGTATTTGAGGCTTTCACTGTGAGGCCAGATCTTCATCTGGGGGCATAGAATAATTCAGATATATAAACCCATATGTGCTTTCAGCAATGACTTACTGAACAGCACCATACTGTAAACAACCCCAAAGCTCCTCAGATATTCATTTGTCCACAGGAAGTCTGTGCTTGCTTGTATAAATGCCCCAAAACTTAATTGCACAGCAAACCTCTGAAAGTCCGGTTTATTCTGATTTATTTCCTACTCATCTCTAATCTTCCAGCAAAAAAAAAAAAAATAAGTGCACTTTATTCTCTCTATTGCTTTATATTCCTGTGGCTCCACTAATAACACCACTAATGCAAGTAAGAGGAAAATTTGTTCCAAGTTAGAGCAAAGCAAGGCTTTGGCACTGGAGATCTTTTCCTCATCTCCAACGCCAGTGACTTGAATATCAATAAAGCATCAGGCTGTCTGACATCCTCCAGGCAGGGCTCAGCCACAAGCTCAGAGAATGAGGTAGCTATGGTGACAGCACCTTCTTTGCAGTGCTAAAACACTGTGTGCAGGTTTGGCAACACCAGCCTCACCATCTGGAGAACTTTACTGCAGGGAGTGCCTGGTATTTATCCCTCCTTTTCAGGACTTGTTGTAAGTTATGTTTAATCAACGTTCCCCACCACGAACACCGTCACCAGAGTGTGTATTCCATATATCCCTGAGGCACAAGGTTCAGATGAATTCATGGCTGGAGAATCTGCTGAGTTTATCCAGGGTTCCCACCTGGCTTTCAAACTGCAGTTTTCGACTCAGTCCTAAACCCCAGGCATCAGGTGTCCCGTAGAAAAATCCATTACCCTTAAAGTTTAAAGAAATATTTACCCAAAGTAAATAACTCACAGGTGTCTTTCCATAGGGTAATCCCTATTATTACAAAGCTCTAACACTTACATAAGACAAGGTACAAGGCTGCACAGTGCAACATAATGTACAACAGAAAGGAAATTAGAACTTATATCAGACAAGAGGTGAGAAGTGTGTGCCAGGACGAAGCACAGAGAACAGCAAAGGGGTGCTTGGAGGTTAAAAAATAGTCTTTTGAAGAGAGCTGAAGTTCCTCAAAAAGTTTTACCTAGCTTTTATTTTTCTAAATCTCTGATTATGAGATTATGTTTATGCACGTACGTGTGTGATGTGCTATATGACTGAACAAGAACATGAAGGAATAACAGCAAAAACCTACAGACTTCATTAGAGACTTCTGGAATTACTCTGGAATTTCTTGTCCAAACCTGACTCGGCCTGATCTTTGCAAGTCATTAATAAATTATGACTCACTCTATTTGTAACCTTATTCCATCTTCCTTGGTTCATATCACTGGGACTTGCTGTCAGCATGCAACAACATTGAAATTATTCCCCCATTTCTTTACAAGAGATTTTGTATTTCTTCCCTTCTTCTAACCCTCACCCTGACTGAGCAGCAGCATCTTTTAAGTAATCTGTGGATTTTTAAAGCTCTGAGCTCCTAAATGACATGCAGAGCTGTTTTCTAGACTGTTAATCCTTCTTGAAAAAATAAAAAAAGCATGACCTTACAACAGTGTTTCAAGATAAACGCAGTAATTGAGGTTAAACTGAAATTAATTTAATTATGCACTGTTCCTATTGTTTTCCCTTTCTACCTGCTAAGACACGTGTAGATGGGAGGTAAAAGTCCAAGAAGAGAAAACCTTCCCTTCCCAGGGTGCGCAAATAGATCAGTTTTTCCTGGCTTAAAGCTGCAGTACCACCTTGCTGACATTGAGCACACACACTATTCACAAACCCTGACATCAAAATACACACCCCAAGACTGTGGGGGGACTCAGCACATAAGGAAAGATTCCTCTGCATTTGGAAAAACGGCATCTGTTTGAACTGGAAGTGACTTGAGTAAGAAGATGATGGATGAGATCCACAGCCATCCCACGAGCATCATGAGGCTTGGCACCAGGCCATGGCTGCACAGGCCAAACGTGAGGACACCGTGACGTGCTGCAAGGGCTGAGCCTCAGTCGGTGTCACAAGTGTGGAGATGTCAGGCCAGGTGGGGAAGGAGAGGTGACAAGGGAAACAGATAAACAGGGCAGGACCTAAGCAACACCACACAAACTTCTGGAAAGTTTGGGCTTGCAGCTCAGACCCAGACCTAGAAAAAGTTTGACTCTGCTTTCGGAGGGTTGTTTTCCATCTCTGGGCACACAGATTTTGTTCCCAAGCTCAGTGGAGCCCGTGGTGTTGCACACACTTCCACAACGTTTAAAAGATACACTGCAGGCACCGTAGCAAAAATCCAACAGGAAGGAGGGGGGCAGGGGCTAAAACCAGAAAACAAAAAAGCAGGGGAAAAGGCACCTGGAGAGCCTGAGGGACGAGGAGAAAGACAACATTCTGAATAGAGAAGAGACATTGTAATGCATGTGCAACTCACAGTTGTGGTGGTGGTGATCTCCTCCGTTACAACCTTCAGCGTGTCCACCACTGAGATGTACCCCAGGCGCCTGGCGATGGCTAAGGCAGTGTTCCCATTCTGAAGGGAGAGCAGAGGGGGGAGAGCGCTGAGAGGGAGGACTGTGATGTGAACCAATGAGCTCACGCTCCGCGCTGCATGAGCCAGCATTTCCATCCAAAACAAGGCACAGCCTAGGAAAAAATCGCTGCTTTTCTACCGTTACATCTGACTCTGTCTTTGTAACTTCTTTTAAGACTATAGCCCCGGTCGCCATGGTAACACAACACACTTACATCTGCCAGATAGTCCAAATACTAAAGACTGTATGGTTTAACCCTTCAGGGTTCAAATCTCACTGGACAGCACGTGTCTTGCCTGTAGAAGTTTCTGTTTTGTTTTGCATAAACGTCAGAAATAGTCTTCTAAAACACAGGAAGTTTTTTAAAATGTTACAGTTTCGCTCCCAGTTGAAACTGTTAAACCTTTATCAGATACAATTCCTTCCCCAGGGAATAGAAGATTACAGCTATGTTGTCCACATACACTTCTATTCCTTCATACAACAAAAATGCATCTCCAATGAAAGTACACAAAAGCTCACGATCTAACAAACACAAAACACGAAAGGCTTGAGGGGGAGGAATTATTTTCCATTTAAATACAACTATGTGCAGTTTGAATGCTCATAATACATAGACGTGATCCATCAAATGCACATTAAAATGATAACTTAGTAAGTGTTTTGGCTTATTTATCCTCATTTTACCCCCTGAAACACTGGCAGTCCATGGTCCTCATGGCACTCGACCTGGGGAGGGGAGGAAGGGATGTGATCCACGGTTCTTTCTAAAGAGCTCTACGCAGAATTTTTCCATGTTGTTTTGCACTGAACCAAGGGACAACATCCTGGCCTGCTGGGGAATCATGGAATGTCACTGTACTGCTCTTTGCACTGAAATGATTTCCCTTGCGACCCCACTGTGCAGGATATCAGCCTGAGGGCTTCTCTCTACTTCAGTACCTAGTTATCTGTAATTTAAATTCTGCTGTATTAGTCTAGCTCAGCAGCCCTGCAGCAACACAGGCTTTGTGGATTAGCAGCACAAAACAAACAGATTAGCATCTTCGCAGCACAAATAATCTGACTGCTACTGTCATTTGCAACCCACTCCCATATTCCACTGGCAGATGTGTCAGGTTGAAAGTCTCTCTTATCTTAAGCCAGAGGTTGCTATGTGCGGACAAGAACAGATCCAGTACCTGAGGAATCACGTAAATTGAGTAACACACATCCTTAAGACTCTGCTTGGACTTGTGTTAAGTGGCCCCAAATCAAGTGAAATCAAGTCGAGATCTTTGGCTGAACATGCCAAATAGTGCCTACAGCCCCAGAAGGTGACTACAGTGGTCTGTCACTTGATGATCTGGTGCACAAACTGGTATTGTGGATAACTTGACCCAGGATTACTCAGTGTGATGGTTCCAGGACCCAACAAGGCGCCAGTGCTCATTTAAAAACACGTGCACTACATCCACGCAGAAAGCTGAGCCGCTCTGGGGAATGACACGAGTTCTGGACACTCTGGCTGCATTTTAATGATTACCCAATTAGAGGTGACTAATAACAACATCAACATGAAATGGGACAGTCGCATTCCTGGCTGACTGTGGGGGAGGAGCTGTGCCAGAAGTCCCTGACGGTCTTTGAGGAGGCATTAACATCTGTGAACTCAGCAAGAACCTGAAACGGATCCAGCGGAGAGTGGGCCTAAATTCTCAAAAAAGCCCGGGTTCTGAACTGCCCACAATTTTTATGGAAAATTCCTCATGGAGATATCAATTTACAGACAGAGGGGAAACTGAACAAGGCCAGCACAGCCAGCTGTGGCCAGCCCGACCCTGCAGCTCAGAAATGCGTTTCTCCCCCTCACGTTTAGCTTAGTGCACAGTTAGACCAGATCTGCACTACCTTAAGAGGATAAGGAAAAGCAGAGGAAGCGACATTTACACATCTGACAACCAGCTGTATGAGGAATACTTTCCCCAGAACAACAACTTGCTCTCAAGCATTAAGAAAGGAAAGAACTGTCCAGGGAATAAGTTCCCACTGGCAGGTCACAGACTTACCGTGGTGATGGCGTTGGGCTTGGCCCCGTGCTGGAGCAGGACATTGATGATGTGAGTGTGACCTTGCTGAGCAGCTTGGTGAAGAGGGGTGTACCCGTTCTGTTGACAAGCAAAACAAACAAACAAAGAACAACAAGCACCAGTAATTAGATTAGAAACTTCACTGTGCTTCCTTCTGCTCCTTTTGAGACGTTTCAAATATAAATTATGCCATCGATTGACCCGAAGATGACAAACCTTCAGTAACAATAGTTTTCCTTCCCCAGATTAATGAAAATATAAAGGAATATAATATTTTTATTCAGAAATCATCTTTACCTCACAAAGACATTTCTCCCTCATTTCCTAAATCAGAGGGAGGAACAATGAGGAAGAGCAAAGTTAAAGTGGCAAGTTAAGGGTACAGAATCATAGCTGAGGCAGAGAACATTCAACTTGCTCACACATCTTTGTTTTCAACAGAAGCCCCAAGATTTGCCTTTAAAATATCTGAGCCGATTAAAAAAATGCATCAATTTTACCAGAAGTGGTTAGAGCCTATTTGCTTTTTAAAAGGCTATCAACATATATGTATTAAAAATGTCAGTCAACTTTAGCTTTGCCTTCAAAAGGTTGGACCAAGCTGTAATTACACTTAAAAAAAAACACGTAGACAGTGCCTGTATTAAAAAACACTCTTAAGTCCATACACTTCTCTGCTCCAGTGGTTCGTTCTAATGTCACACAGGACAGAAAGACAGCCCAAGTATGCTGCAGCTGGCTGATCCGAGACGGTATTGTGAAAGTCCAGTCAGGCAATTCATTTACAAAATTAGTTGCAATTGGCTTTGAAAGCAGGCAGAGAAGAAACTGGAAGAAAACACCAAGTTGATCTCACTGTACACTTACATAAAGCCTGGAGGCAGGCTCTGAGAGGTATCTCTGTTGCAAACCAACAGATGCAAGTAATGCTTTTCACTGCCAATTAAACAGGGATATTTCAGAACTGTTACAGTTCTTACTGTGAGTGCATGGACCGCTAGGAATCCGAAGGAGGATTTACTGTAGGTTCTAGTGCAAAGTAAATTCACTGTCTGTACTTCAGTATTAGGGCAGTCCTTCAAAACTGGAATTCAGCCCTACTATTTTTCACAAAGCTTCACGTAAGCTTTCCCTAGTTAAAGCCCAAGCTGTAACAGAGGTTACTTAGTCTTCAACATGTCTATCCTGAATGCAGCCAGGACAGATTTGCTCTTTAAACTGAGTCCACAGTGCCAGCTGACAGACTGCCAGTATTTTTATTGGTCCCCAGGTGTGAGATTTTGGAGAAGTGCTGCCTCACACAAACTTGCTGACTTTAATGAAATTATTATAAATAAGTGAAATACCTGGGTAAATGGAATCAGAATCTGCCCCAGTGGCCCCTTAAAAATAGAGAGAGACCTAACACTAAAGATGCAAGTTTGTCTGTCCCTTGAGCTAGCCTCCAAATACCTCAGCTGAATGTCTTGGCAGCTACAGTTTGGATCCTTCTAGTGTCTGTTTCATTAATTCTCATCAGCTGTTTTTCTAGTGGTGTTGCCTGTGCTTTTGAAATACCTGGGTTTTGCCCATTGATTTTGGGTGATCCCATGAGGGATGAGCCAGAATCTTTATTATTTGGCTTATTCTCACCACACTGAGCTGCTACTTTGAGAAATAAGTCCATCCCATAGGTCACAGCTGGGGACACAGGAGCTGGGCAGAGGGACCAGCAGACTACAAGTCAGTGATTTTGGTGGGATCTTAAAAATACTATCAATGGGCTGCTTCCTGTCAATCCCCAGACATCCAGCCCGAAGCTGGTAGCCAGCTCTAACAAAGCTGCAGCCCCACAGCTCCTGAGTTAGCCTTCTTTTTCTGATAAGGGTGATGGGATGATACCTGGGATGCCACACACGGTTGGCGTCACCAGAACCTCTCTGTGTATTCTCAGGAGATGCACAATTCTTGCTACAAAATGCATCCCATTCAGGTGTGCCCACCTGTTTATCCAAGGAGAAAGTGCTGAAGGCAGTGAGCTTCGTTCAAACTTTGCAGTCAGGCCCATTTCAGCATAACTGGTCAGTACCAGCATATCCAGATTCCCCTCAAAAATCCCCAAATCCTCCTTCAGGAAACCACAGTTCCTCACCACAGCTGCTTCCTCTCCCAGAGTCATACCACCCACGCCTTGAACAGCAGGAATTTTTCCCACTCTTCCCCCAGCAGACTGGAGAGAACCTGGCATCACCCTCCAAGTGCCTGAATTGTTACTTACTGGTTTGACAGCACACTGGTGTAAAGCATGTGCAAATGAGATCAGAAACAAACTTGCATTTGTTAGCTTGCAAGTAACAGGAAAAAGAAAAAAAAAACAATGAAATGGATTCTCCCAAGTCATTTTTTCATACACCCATAGAGTTATCTGACTTTTCTTTCTTGAACACCACACAGTGAGATGGAGCAGGGGGAAGTCATCCCACTACAGTCACAGATATGTTGGCACCTCCCATGCCATGGTTAGAGCTTCCAAGTGAAAAGGCACCCGTGGAATGTCCTCAGAGTGCTGGGTTACCACGTTCATAATAAGGAGCAAAACCACAGTAATGAGAAACTCTTTACCTTTGTTTTAGCATTGACATTTGCTCCGTGCTTGAGGAGGAAATTCACCATTTTGATGTTTCCATAGTGACAGGCCACAATTAAAGGTGTGTAACCAAGCTACAAGAAGAGAACAAAGAAGTAAAACTGCAAGCTCAGTGGAACATTCCTTGGACAAGGGTAGCATCCTTTGTGCTGGAGACAGCAGCCACTCCCTGATTTACCTTTGTCTGAGCATCCTGGTTTGCACCATGTTTGGTGAGTATTTCAGCTACATTCACTTTATCCTCTTGAGCTGCAAGGTGTAAGGATGTCAGTCCAGCCTGGAGGTGGGATACACAAAATGAATAAATAAATAGACAGAAATAAAAATAAAACCCTATTTTGCATGAGGAACAAAATCCAGACTTTGCCATTTTCTCATCTTTAAAACATGAACAGATCCTAACTATAGCTTCTGAGTATGGGTGGTGTTTTTAAACAAAGTGGAGCTGATGTTGCTCCTGTTCCAGCTCCAAAGCAATTCCATCTCCATAACCACAGAGGAAAACTTTCAGGCATCAATGCTCACGCTCGGGTTTTCTACGATAATGTCATTTGGGAAGCTGAGGAGCCCATTAATAAATTAGGGAAGCACATTCACTGTGCTTCCCACTCCTCAGACAGGAAAGGGAACCTTGACAACTGCAGGCACGAGTCAGAATGAAGACCTTAATTCCAGAAATAGATCCCATTCAAAGATGCCAAGGGAAAGGATGCAGCCTCTAACTGAAAGCTCACTGGGATCACGCACACAGCACTTTCACGTGAACAAGTCACCGAACAAATTTCGTATAAGAAATGAAAATCACCTTGTTCCTCTTAGCACAACACATTAATTCCAGACAAGGAGAGCCTTCTATTTTGATCTGTATGAGCAAAAGCTGCAGGTTTTTCATCTTAAGTAAGTAAGATTTACATATATCCCTGGATAAATCCAGTGACCTATGAAGATCTACAATAATCGGGGTTTTTTTGAGGAACTTGTTTTCTATGAAAAAGCTGTAAGGTACAATTATAAAAAAAAAAATACAACTGAAAGGTCCCACTTAGGATTTTTCTCAGTCTCAATTCCAGTAATAATCTTGTCCTGTTATTTGCCAGACACTGCCAATTTCTTCCCTAGGAAAAAAAACTGAAGGATAAACACATGAGGAAAAGAGACTTTGCTGGTTAGACCACAGCTCTCAGGTTTTGATGCATGTTGATAAATCTGCCCATGGACCCACAAAGTCCAGAATTTTACACTCCTCTTCCTCTCCATCTCATGTAGAACTGCAGGAGCACATGCAAAACACCTGAGAGATGGCAAGGATGCAGCACAACAAAAATACTGCAGCCCTGCCTTCCTGAATGCTCAGAAACAATATTCTCTTGCTCTGCCTTTCCACCTGAGCCAGGTGTTACACCCGTTTCCTCTGGGCACAGCAAACAGCCACAGCTCCTCCTGTGCATTACCAACCAGAGCTATTAATTACGTGACACAAGTTAACTGGTCAATTATTTTCCAGTCCTAGACACCCTCTCCTCATTTTTACTGTTCACCCACCTGTTGTCACTCCTGCAGACTCACCAACAGAGAGGATTCCTGACAGTGTATCATCATTCCTGCACTGCACTTAGCATCTTACCGGATATTCCCACCCACAGTACTTCGCCTCTGGTTGTGAGTTACCTTTGTTGCCACGTGGATGTTGGATCCTTTCTCCAAAAGCAAGGTCGCCATGTCAGCGTGACCTTCTTGGGAGGCCAAATGAAGCGGGGTGACTCCCTGCTTGGTCAAAATGTTGGTCTCAGCCCCGTAGTTCAACAGAGTGGTGGCTATCTGCATCTGATTTTTCTTGGCAGCAATATGCAGAGGGGTGTATCCGTTCTAACACCAGCCAGGAAACAAAAGGAGAATAAAGTTAACACAACAGCCATGTAAGCCTAAGAAGTCAGGCACCATAAAGCAGGATTATTTGATGTTACCCTCATTACTAGAGAGGAGAGTTCATTACATTTTCAAGGCCAGACGTGTCCCACATAGCCCTGCTGTTGTGCTGCTTTGTCCATCTGTTATTTTCGCTGCCTAAACTAGAACAAAGCCAGCCCTCGCCAGGGTGGGCAGGATCGTTCCACTGATACCTTCAAATTATCCCGAGTTTGACACCTACATTTTGTATAACCTATGTTGCAAATAATCACTTCTGACTGATGAGTGACATCCCCCATGATGACTGATGGGTGCACACTCTCCATCGCATTATGCTTTTTCAGAGCACGTGGGTAGAGATGTGTTTGCATATGGAATTTTGATGTGTGTGTCAGTCACTGGCTGGAAACAGCAAAGGGAAAGAATGTTTCTGCAATCAAATTAACCATTTAAGCACAGCAGAACGGCATTTGCTGGCAATAAGACAACCTCCTAATTGATTTATAACACACCATGGGGGCAATTTGACTAAAGCTGTGCTGGGGCAGAGTCCTCTGAGGGCTCCCCTCAGGGTCCCCTCACCTACACAGTGATACCAGGACACCCCACTCCTAACCCTGTGAATGAATGCCCTGTGTCAGAACACACATTTCTAACGTTGCTGCTAATATTGCACAACAGTGAAGTGACTTCCAGCTGCGAATAATGCTGTGGTGGGGCTGGGTCCCCTCAGGGTCCCCTCGCCCACACAGCAATACCATGACACGGACGCTGCTCCAAACCCTGGAATGGATTCCCAGTGTATGTGGTCAGAATATACATTGCTAAAGTCATTACTAATATTGCACAACAGTGAAGTGCCTTCCAGCTGGGAACAAAGTTGTGGCGAGGATGGGTCCCCTCAGTGTCCCCTCAGGGCTCCCCTCACCTACACGATGATGCTATGGCACCTCTCCTAAGCCTGGAGTGAGTTCTTTGGGTTTGTGGTCAGAATATACCATCATCATCATCATAATCAGCTTTGGCCATACTGATCATCATCACTGGTCTACTCTGGCCTCCTATCGGGAGACACAGAGACACGCTATTCATAACGCTGCTGCTTCTTTTAGGAACACACTCAAGATCGCTCTTGAGGAGCAAAGACAACGCAGAAAGAGCCGTGTCTTGCCAATAGCGCCTGAGGAGACATTCCTCTGCGCCTTTTGCGACCAGAGTTGTCTATCTCACATTGGCCTTTTTAGCCAGCAAGCGTGGGTAGAGTCCTTCTCAAATCTTCCTTCGCAAAGCCTAGCCATGACGATGATGATGATGATGAAGTGACTTCTGGCTGGGTCCCCCCAGGGCTCCCCTCACGGGTGCCGGCGTGGCCGTGCTCACCTTGGCGGTGGCGTGAGGCGACGCGCCCTTCTCCAGCAGCAGCAGCGCCACCTTCTGGTTGTCGTAGTGCGCGGCCACGTGCAGCGGCGTGAGCCCGTTCTGCAACGGCGGTTACGGCGTTAGCGGCGGCGGCGCGGCCGCCAGGGGGCGTTACGGGGGGCGTTAGGCGCTGAGGGGACACGGCGGCGGGGAGAGAGGGATCGGGATCGGGACGGGGGGGGGGGGACGGAAAGGGGGAATCGGGATGGAGGGCAAGGCAGCCCGGCGGCGAGTTAGCAGGGAGAAGCCGCGGAGCGAGCAAACCAGGGCGGCAGGCGCAGGCTTCCGTCGCACCCGCCCCGTGAGGGAAATTTGCACCAGGGCGGCAGGCACAGGTTTCCGTTGCCCCCGCCCCGTGAGGGAAATTTTGCTCCTGTGTTTTATCCGCTCTGGGCAGCTTGATGGAACCGGCACTTCATGAGCCACAGAAACTGTGCCCCGTGCAGCCAAACCTACCACCCTGGGGGAACGCGAGCCCGCCGCGCCAAAGCAGCCCCAGCCTCCGTGGTGTGCCTGCCGCACACCTAAGGAGGAATAACCCAGCTTTCTTTCCCACCAGTACCTTGCCAGCGGAATCGGGACAGGCACGACGCTGCAGCAGAAGCTTCGCCACTTCCAGGCTCCCGTATTTGGCTGCCACGTGCAACGGCGTGAATCCCTTCTGAAAAATTCCGGGAGATAAAAGGCAGATGTCTGCGTCAAAGGTCACGCTGACATCTCACTTTTAAGAACTAGGTACTAAGCACTTATTCTTCAACCTATATTCCTGCTCTCAGAATCGATAGCCATACCGAGAAAGAGCAGCATATCTCAAAAGGAACACAAGAAAATACTTCTCCTTTTGTTATTCTTTCCTCTGTACGTGCTGTCAGGCTGGCAGACACTTCATCTGATACACACACTGCGTGGGGGCAATGAAGGCACTGCTTCAAATGTACACCCCAAACCAGCTGCACCTCTTCTGTTTCATGATGACAAGCTTTAGAAATATTTCCTGTATCAGTTGTTGCCAGTAACAGTGAAACACAGACTAAATTCGGGGAGAAAAGCTCCAAACTTCACATTCCTCCATTAGGGTTTGTTGAAAAATGATTTGTATTTGGACTCAAGTGTCTATACAGTCACTAAGTTCTCCAGCTAAAAAAAATCCTGCTCTTTGCCTCTTTTAATTTCAAAACTGACAGGGAAAATTCACGGATGTATGACAGTAGGTGGCAGCCTGCACTGCTGCCCGACAGGAATTTTGGGAAGCTACGACGACCTATTTGCCTGGCACATAAGTGATGTTTAATGTTTATTATCATTGTCATTTAGTTCCATTAATCCCACCTCAAAAAGAGTTTATAGTGGGAAATCTCAAACGTTTTCACAGTTCATGTATCACAGGTCTGTAGAGATATTATCTAGTGGGCTGCATCTTCTCCTATTCATAATTATAGAATGTTCCTGCAATACTAATTGCCATCAAGCAATATGGGAAATTAGGAAAGTATTTAGTGTATTTTTAGCCATTCTAATGTGATCTAACAGCTGGATAAAAGGAGAACAGCATGCATTCCCAGTCATCTGTGGACCATAATATGAAAATTGCTGGTTTAGTCTTCTAAACCCTGGAAGACACCCTGTTGTTCAAAAACATGTTTTAAGTTCCAGTTGAAAAACCAAGGGTACTTCAATAAATAGTGAGAATTACGTGATTCTCACTTATCACATGCTTTAAATTTGGAAAAGCTATCTTGGTATACAATTCTTTTCACAGCTATCTGTTCTCTTATGTGTTCATCGATCTGTTAGGAAGATATTGGTAAACATTTTTGGCTAAAAAACCCAACAACGATTCTGCAGAGTCTTTTATAACCCCAGACAAAATGGCCTGTTGTGTCACAAGACACCTCATTTATAGAACCACCAAAAATAGATTCAGCATTGAATGCAACTAGACAGATGCTGACCTGGATGTTTTGGGAGAACTAAAGAAACAGAGCAGAATTATTTTACTAGTTAAGTAAACATGGTACTGAAGAGTAAGGAGGCCTGTTCATAAAAAATGTGTCACTGCCATTCACTTTTCCTTTTTGAAATTTTTGTCCAAAAAATCCCTACCCAGAGGACAACGGGAAAGAGAAAAACAAGGGCATTTTCAAACCTGTTGGGACCGCGCGCTTACCAAGATCTGCATTTTGCTTCAGTGGGAACCAAACCCAATTTTAGAGGGTAGCAAAATAAGCTGAAAATCTGATTAGCGTGACACATTACTCCCGTCTATCGGATGGCTGCTGATTAAGAACAAAGCAAAACGCTCAAACTAGTCCAATTTCTCGGTGTGAAAAAGACACAGACATGGAACGTTTTGCCTTACTTTGGTGGACATGGAGTGGGAGGCGCCTGCCTCGAGGAGCACGGAGGCGACGTCGACCTGGCCCTCCCTGGCGGAGATGTGCAGGGGCGTGTACCCGTTGGTGGTGGCGGCGTCGGGGTGGGCCATGTGCTGCAGCAGCAGCTGCACGATCTCCGTCTTACCCAGGCGAGAGGCGATGTGCAGCGGGGTCTGTTCTTCCTACAACTCAAATCAAGCGGATAATTAGCACAGGTAGAACCGCCCCGGACGCCACGTCCTGGCTGACGCCCGCACACTCATCTGTGCATTTGTCTTGTGGAGTCATAGGAAGGGATAATGCAAAAAATGACAGTAACAGAGGAGAGGGTGGTGACGAGTGACTGCCTGAACTCCTCTGCTTCTGCCAGAGAAACCATTGTAAGCAGAACACCTACCCTGGCTCGGGCATCAACCAGGGCCCCGTTCCTCAGGAGGCAGCGAACTACTTCCACCTGCCCGGCACGTGCCGCCATGTGCAGCGCAGTCTCTCCACGCTGCAGAAAAAGCAAAAGCATTTCAGTGTCCTAATCCCCCACAAAGGAACAGAGCTCTGACAGCCTAACTCCCACCCATGACAACTCGTGCAGAGACCCGCCTTCCCGCCAGCTGAGACTCTGGCTTCAGCCCCAGCACGGGCAGCTCAGGATGGGGTGTGAATACATGTTGCTGGGCCTGGGTATGCTTTGGATTGCAAGCTGGGAGATCCCAGACAAACATCATCTTGACTACAGAGGGTCAAAACAAACCTCCTGGCTCAGTGAAAATTCTGCCACATAGATTTGCCCTGGTCACATATGTTCCTCAGCTTTCTGTGTAGCAGCGCATCAGCTCGCACGCCTCACAGGAGATAAGAGTACACCGAGCCTTTCCCTCTCAAGGGATTGCAAGGCACATGAGCCTCACGATGGAAGGGGCTGTTTTTCCAGATGGTCCCTTCCTGCTCGCTGTGTGTGGAGCTGGCAGCATTAAAAGGCCTTGCAGTGGCTGAGCACAACCACGCCAGCATACGAAATGTGTAAAATCTGTGCTCGGCAGTGTAGCTTTGTCTCCTGGGTAGGGAATCAATCTTGTCTCAAGCCTTTTGTAGCCCATAGAATTTGCAGGAGAATATGAAATTTTGGAAAGTGTGATATGGAATTTCAGGTCAGGAACATTCAAAACATTCTTTTTCACAGGTTTGCAAAGAAACACCGGAAATGAGTATTCCTTGGCGATGGCACTTCTGGCTTAATTTTGCACTGTTCTTTGAGTGCAGTGTCCTAAACTGGACCGAAACGGTCCTTGTGCAGCTCATCAGCATCTGGTACATCAGGTACTGGGACAGTTCCACAACCAGGAGCTCTGTATTTATCTGTCATGTTGTGAGAACACAGCAGGGCTGATCCTTCCTTTGTGTTAACTGTTCATTTTTCTTACACTCGAGCTGGAGAATATCCTGTTGTAAGGCCTTTAGCCCCTCGACTATCAATTAAACTGCAACTGCCAAAACGAACACTCTGGTCAAGATCTTTTACATCAGAATGGGAATCATGTCTTCTTGTCCTTGGTCTAGATGTAGGGAAAGAAGCAGCCTGAGCTTGCCTGCTCTTATGAACTTCTAATTACAGCAAACCCTCTTCACCAGGAGCTGATTTGTCATTTTTAAATTAACATTGTATTTAATATAAATTAACATAGCTGTGATTAGTAAGTAGGCAGCAAACAAAATCCCACAGCCTTGGCTATAAATCTTAATAATTTCATCTGCATAAACTTTACTACCTGAAGAACGAGCTGTTTAAAATGTGAATAAGGTTTACATTTCGTACACTCTAAAGATGAAATTTCTACAAGGACCTTTTGAGCTTGAATTAGCAAAGCAATTTAGTTTTTGGAAACAGTAATTCAACAGGGATCCCCAGCTTACCAAGTGAAAGCCAAGACACCTGCACAGCAGAAATTGTAAAGTGTTAAACTCTGCACACAAATGACCAGTAACACAATACTTTTAACTGCTTCCACAAGCATTTCTTGTTGGCTTTCATACCATCAATAAAGTTATTATATAAAAGTCTGCTTCTATAAAAAAGTATGAAAAGTCTGTTCTAAAGAGTCACATAAACAACTCTGTGTGCTCAACACTTTTACTGCGTCCCATATCAGGTTCTTCTGAGAAAAACTAATGAGTCCAGCTTTTGTTGTTGGGAATATTTACCTATAAAACCTTATTTACTGGTAAAAAGATTGCTCTCAAAGTACTTATGGTCCTGAGTTGAATATTTGTTTAAACTGTCAAATTCAAACAGTAAAATACCTATGAAATACAGCTCAGAAAACTGTAACGTTCTTTTTATTGTTATTCTGCTTGGTAACAAAGCTGTTGGTATACAAATACTTATTTCTATGGTAAGTCAGGTTCTGCGTTTTGTGTTACCTCCCAAAGGTCACATTTTCTAGATTTAATCACCACTTCATGGACTTTCCTGTCCAAGAGGAACATCTTGATTTTCACAGATCTACTTTTTCTTCATTTGTTGGGTTTTAAGCATTTTTGTGCCCTTCCAGTGACAGAAATGACACAATTTCATGGCAGCCAGCAAAGCTACTCAGGCAGAAATTACAGCCATTTGGAGTCAATTTTCACCCTTAAGAATAGAAACACAGGCTTTGTGGGATTTGGCCTATAATCCATTTTGGATGTATTTGGTAAGCTTTGTCCGTTTCTAAGGAAAACTTTACCTACTCAAGCACTGCTGGAGAACACATGAAACCACAGATGGCTTATAATACCACATACAGTCACCATTTCCCCCTCTGCACCAAGAGATTAATTTCTCCTAAAATGCAATGAAGTCCTAAAATATCATTAAAATGTGACCTTTGGTTGAGCTCCATGATAGGCCAGAGACTGTCTGGAGGTACTACAGGGATGATTCTAGTCAAAGCCATACTCACAATGTTAGTGACATCGGGAGAGGCTCCGTTCTGCAGCAGAAGGAGGACTATGTTCAAGTGGCCCATAAATGCAGCCACGTGTATTGGTGTGAGGCCCGACTGCGAAACAAAGCAAGAGCAGTTTTACTCCCCTGCACGGGTGTAGGGAAGGGGCTTCTTTGTTTAAATAAAACACAAGTGAGGTGTGACAGGAGAGAGAGAGAGAGGGGCAAAAAAAAAAAAAAAAAAAAACAAAAATCCAAAAAAAAAAAAAAAGGGCGAGAGAGATGGAATGTTTCTTCAGGACACGAAACATTTTTTCTACCTCTGTTATAGCCTGGATTGAAGCCCCATATTTCACCAGGAGTTCCATGACTTTGATGCGATTTTTCTTGCAGGCAATGTGCAGTGGAGTAAAACCATTCTGTGCGAAAGACAGTCATGTTAGTCGGAAACATGCAGCTACACTTCCCACACAGCTCCGCGCCGGCACGCCGGGAGCAGAAGGGTTAGAGTACCAGAAGCGACTGCTCTCTAAGCACGACAGGTTACAGATGAATTACAGACATCTCCCAGCGTCTGAGGCAGAACAAAGCAGTGCTGCTGTGCTCTTCTCAGGGCAGTGGAGACCAAGTGAGCTTCTACCTCCAAAGCCCAAATACAGATATGCCCATCCTGACTTCCAGGTGTATGTGTGCACATGTCTGCATGTGGTTCCCCAGGGAGAACACATGTGTCCATTAAGGAGGGCTTACAGTGCTTCCCAAGAGTGCCTACCAAAAGGGAAATATTAACAGATTATAGTGATTACTTTGGAATTAGTGCCTTTATGAAGCATTTTCTATACCTCTCTAGGAGAATCGCAGAATCCCCAAATGGTTTGTGTTGGAAGGGACTTTAAAGTTCATCCTGTTCCAACCACTGGCAGGGACACCTCCCACTAGCCCAGGTTGCTCCAAGCCCCATCCAACCTGGCCTTAGACACTTCCAGGGATAGGGCAGCCCCAGCTTCTCTGAGCAACCTGTGGTAGGGCCTCACCACCCTCACAGGGAAGATATTTTTTTTCCTAACATCTAATCTAAACCTACTCTCTTTCACTTTAAAGCCATTTAAACTGAGAGACAACAGAGCACTTCTCCCACATTCCACCTTACTTGGTCAATTTACATGTAATCGAAGCATCTGCGTGTATGAACTTTTATATTTATGCATCAATCTAAGGCATAATATTCACGTCTGAGAGGGTGTGTGTGCATTGTGTGAGGTGTCTTAAATAAAGAGCCACCCCTTCAGCCACGGTGTGGTGATGAACTCTCACAGTTCGTGCAGGTTAAGTGTGTGCCTAAAGCTAAGCAAACACAACTCACAGTATGTGAATGTTTTAGTGAAAAGCACAGGTAACATTTTTCTAGATAACGTTGAAAAATTGCTGTATTTTCTAATTAAGAGCATCGGCATTGCTAAACAATCAACCAGCAGTAACCACGCCCTAGCAGGGAAATTTTAGCTCATGGGAAGAGGCACGTGACAGATTATTCTACAGGCAGCTTCTGTTAAGGGAAATGTTAATTACTAGTTGATTTGAAGGTGCTAAGAACACACATAGTGCTTGCATCCCCAAAGCATTTTGCAAACATTAACAATTATTTCTTTTAAATCTAGCTGAAAATTAATTATTTGTAGTATTTATTCCATCGCAGGACTCTGCTGATTATTATTACTGCTTCTCCAATTTCTAAGGAAGGAATCAAAACCATCTGATATTTTACCTCCCACACAACATCTCTCTATATATTTCACAGGGAGTTTTACTGTTTCAGAACTTTCCATATTTGCACTGAATTTTACTGACTGAGTTGATTTAATTTTGCTGCTTCTATTTAAGTCAGGAACAGTTTGATGGGGGAGAAGAGAAAAAAAAAATGTATCAGTAACAGAAATTATGAGCTTCATTTAATGTATTAAACGCTATAAACAAGCCAGAGGCAACAAGTCCCTGATGGGAGAGGAAACAAGAGAGAGGGGAGAAAAAACAGTTTGGTGTGAAGAGAGCAGAGAGGCAGGAGCCCGAGGGTGTTCTCCTTTCATATCAGATGTTTCCCAGGGAGGGAGGGAGGGGGAGAGAAGGTTTATTTCTAGTCATGGAAGGAAAAAGATTTGGGGGGGTAGCATATAAAGTGTATGTGTGGGTAGCTGAGGAAAGTACAGCTAGAGATAACCAGGAGACTAGCAAGAAAACAAAAAAAAAAAGGATGAAAACAGCATCAAAAAAGATCAGCCAAGTAAACACGACACTGAGAAAGACAAAACAAGCAAAGCACAAGGGGAAGCAAGAGGGGTTACAGGATTTGTGGGTATGGAAAGACCAAGAAAAATGGTGTCAATAAAGTCAGTTCCAAGGAAGTAAGGGATAGGGAGACAGTCTACACGGGAAAACACTGGGTCCTACTGGGGCAAGAAGCTGGGGAAGGCATCCAGGTAGCCTGAGGGGGAAGTTCTGTGGGGGCCCTGACTAGGGCAAGCAATGGCAGATTTCTGGCCATGCTGAACCACCTCGAGTGTTCACAGACTCTGAATTTCCACCACAGAGTGTAATATATTGCTACTTTAACTCCCATCCAGCTATCATTTCCTATTAGAGAAAACTGGAACCTTGTCTGGCTTTGGATAGATTAAAGACTCTTGAAACGTTCCAGGAGCCAAATGTGATGTTTTTGTCTCCATTATGGGCAATGGTTTGAACAGTGAGTGAGAGAGCAATCATACCTGGGTTCCTGTAAGCATCAGAACTGGTTTTGAAAAGAAAGAAAAAGGGCACCTAATAGAGGGGAATGTCATAATTTGATAAATGCAGAAATATTACCTTTCCAACACATTTTTCTCTGTGCCAATGAACTTACTGCTTTGGCTGAAAGCTTAGAAATTAGCTGTGTATCTTATCACACAGTATGGACAAATGAAGAATTAAATCAGTAAAACACCAACGCATACATCAACATCAGCCAGAACTGGCTCTGACTTTAGGAACTCTGCAGAGCTTCCAGACCTGCCACTACAGCCACTTGCCATGGGATGTGCTCCATGACACACCAGCAGCTGTGACACCCCTGTTGCCACTACACCTATTTAAGGCTGTGGAGTTTGCTGACAACCTTTTCACTTGGCCTTGCTGGTAAGAAGAGCTACTCCCCTGCCCTGCCCAGCTTTGTTCCACGGCACAGGAGGGACATGTTTACCAGGGCACGGGCGTTGGGGTTGGCTCTCTTGTCCAGGAGGAGTTTGGTGACACGGTAGTGGCCGCAGTGCGCGGCCACGTGGAGGGCGGTCAGGTAATCCAGCGTCACGTCGTCCACGGGGGCCTTGTGCTGCAGCAGGTGTTTGACACACTCCACGTGGTCCCCCTGGGCTGCCATGTGCAGGGGAGACAGTCCATTCTGTGGCAAAGGAAAACAGTAAACTTGTAAGTAACTCTCACATCATGGCACACATTAGAAAAGTTATCTGTTGTCGTGAGGAGCTGCTCAGCGGGGTTTGCTGTTAAACAGGTGTCTTCCTCTCACTAGTTTGATCAAAGGCATGGAATTTGTAGGAAGTGCATTAATCTGTGTTTTCCAGAAACGAGTAAGAACACACTGAAATAATTTTCCAAGTCTGAAATAAAAACAATTGGGAGAAGCTGCAAGTCACAGGTTCTCGCTATCTCATATAAAGGATCAGAAAACATGTAGCAGGAATCACCTCTTAGGAGTGATCAATCCAGCTCTCCCACCTGTGTATCCTAAGGCTCAGGAAGCAGTACAACTGAAGTGCTGGCAGTAGCACTCCATATCATGTGTTTAGTCTGGTATTACAGAGCAGGGTAAAGAAGTGCATACTTCTCATCAATTCGGAAAGGATAGTCCCTAATTATGTAAAAAACCTAATTTTGGATCATTCTATCCATTAACGCATTTCCTTTGGGAGGGCAGAAATGTTCCTGTCTCCTTCCTTGTCCTTTCAGTGACACTGAAAATCCTGTGGGAAGTTACACAGAGGTGCTCACATATTCCAATAAGACACACAGAGGTGTTCCCAGGGTCTAACAGGACACACACACACACCTTGGTCCGTGCGAGCAGAGGGGCACCTCGCTCCAGGAGCAGCTCCACAACCTGGTCATGTCCACTCCTTGCAGCACAGTGCAGCGGGGTGAGTCCATCCTTAAAGCAAAAGGAGGGAAAACCAATGAGCAAATCCCCAACTGCCCATCCTGCCACCCTGGGGAAGACCCTTCCAGGAACGCAGCCCCGTACACGTGTGGAAAAGCTCCTTTTTCAAGTCCTAACTGAAGCTGGTTCCAAAACATGAAGTTCCATCTCTGTTCTTCCTTGCACCAGTGAAGGACACTCTAAGGTTACTGTTGGAGAGAAGCCTTAGAGTGCTTAAAGCCTTGTGTGTTGAAATCTTTTATCAGAGGATAATGTGAGCTCGCCCTGCCTCCTCCCCTCCCTCTCCTCTGCATTGCCTCCCTGGATAATGCCTGCTGGGCCAAGGATGCTCCATTAATCAACCTCTTGTCCTTTGGATTGCCTTTGATGGAGGGATGAAATGGGAAATGTTCACGCTAGAAAATCTGCTCTAGAATTTTCTTCTGTTTTTAAACAGGCAGCAGGAGAAAGAAGATTTGAAAACGGAGGAAAAAAAAAAGAGAAAAACAAACAAAACTAAAATTTTCATTTCTGAGACTGAGGGTGATGAAAGACCTGACGATTCTTTTCTAAAATTACTGGGAGACCACCAACTCCACAATACTTTTTTCCATTGCAGAAAACCATCCTGTACCACAAGACTTGTTCAGGCTAATGATGACAGCAGCGGTATCCAAAGATGTGTGGATGAAATACTTAAATGGACAAATGAATTCTGGGTACTTCTGCTGCAGTTTGGACTTCATGCAGAAAAACAGAGTAAATATGAGGTAGAAAAATTTTCCTCCCTTATCTCCTTTTTCCAGAGATATATGACAGGAGTGAAGTGTGTCTCAGTGCTCACTATCTCACAGGCATGCCTAAATCCCATGGAAGCTTCACAGTGAATTCCAAGAGATGCAACATCAAACCCAAAACCAGAATTCACAGCTTTCAGCACTTAGCAGGTGGGGTTGGGGTAAAGAATTGGGTGTAACTCGCTTAATTGGTATTTTATTCACTGAAACTTCAGAGTCCCCTAAACCAAGTCTTTATATGCACAACTGAGGTATATTATCATCTCACTGCCAGAGGGATCGTACAGGTAATTCCCATTGGCATTACTAAGGTGAGAAAATATCCCAAAAGCACTTCTAGAGAAGTTATTTCTTTCCAGTTTCTGGCCTCTTGTGCTCTGCATTTTTAATCAATGTGGGAGGTTCACTTTCCTTATCTGCATGGTGGCTTTGATGTTATTCTATTTAATAAAACAGCAAAAGAAAAGTAGAATTGTGTGAATCCTTAAAAAAAGCAGGACAAATCCCCAGAGGGAGAAAAAGAAGAAAAATACAAGCTAAAAAACACATCCACTCTGCAAGAAAGTCTAAATAAACCAAAAAGAACTAAATCATTAAAAAACATGATTTCTCCTCTGTTCTGATCTACAATTCCCTTTAAAAGCAGAGACAAAAAAATTTGTTACCTATCCTATACTATCCTGGCACAGCTTCTTTGCAGACTTCCCACAGAACCCTCCTTCCCTGCCCTGGGGAAAACAGCACGTGTATTTTAAGATTATTGTATATTTAAGACTTTAAATTCTACTTTTGCTTCTGTGCTTTCTTCAAGGGTGAGGAAAATAGCAAGGAGAAAGCTGTTGCAGCAGAAGAATTAATGCAGGATACACCAAGGACAAGCTGACATGAGCCAACATCACGAGACACACCAGTGGACCAAATCAATCCTGCCTGTGCCATTATCTGTTTGCAATGAGCTTCAGTGCTCTGAAGGGGATGGCAGGATTCTGCATAAGCACTTTTTAAATCATTGCTTTGCTAATTCAAGAGCACCCAGTGGCCATAACATCCAGCACATCATTTGACAGGACACGCAACGCCGAGTCAAAGGGACGGAGACTCCGAAGCACAGACAACGGATATCCCATAAACACAAAGGCTGTCATGCCCAGAGACAAGAAATTCAGCAACTGTGTGTTTTGAGAAGTCCAGTATTTATCTTTTCATCTCCCCAGTGACATCCTGCACCTGGTGTTCTGCTAGTGTCACACCTGGTACTTTCCTCTCTCCCGCTCTGCAATGTCACCAATAGAAATGGCACTACAATCCCTGTGTATGGAAGCCATGCAAGTCCATCAATCCTAATTTCCTCTCAAATGACTCCCAAAATACAAAGTAAACTTTTGGGGTTTTCTTCCCCCCTTGAAAATCAATCACTGGCCATCTTTTAACCTGCAAAATTAATTCTGAATTCCAAGCGTGACGCCTAACTGCAGGGCCTGGGAAGATAAATTATTGGGTTATTCCACAAATGCTTTCCCTTCAGCTTACCAGAGAGACTGTGACAAAAAGAAGCTGTGCTTCTGAGGGTTTTTTAATGGGAAATGATGTGGGCAGCATCCTCACAGGACAGTTGCTCCCATTCAGTGCTCATTCGACCACAGACTGCTAATAGACATGAGTGTCAAAGGCCAAATTAGCAAAGAATTCTTCCAAACTGCAGCTGCATCATCCTATTTTTGTAAGGGTGAAGTAAAATTTTAGTATTCCATGTGTCAAACGCGCAAAATTGTCTAAATTTTCTCGACAAATAAAGGGCTTTTAATTTGTTCGTTTTTCATTACGACTAAACCTCATCTCTTTAAAAATGAACGAGGCGACTCTCCCTCCTGCTCTAAGCTCTTGGCATAATTAAACACGCTGTAAAGTATTCCTCCAGGTCTGCCATTCGAAGTACAAATCTTAAAAATACAGCAAAAACATACCATGCACTTGCTTGAGTAATAAGGCATTAACATAAAGAATTCTAAATAAAAGTCATTATCTACATAACTTGCTTAGACAACCCGGACAACACCCCTTCCTACACACTCGTAAACATTATATGAAGCCACTGAATTTTTTATAGCAAATATCTGCATTGTGATGAGATATTTATAATCTGACATTGCTTTAGGAACAGCAAAAACTGAATTATTAGTGCTCCGTGTGTGTGTGAAGACGAGGAGAAAATGTCACAGCAGCTTTACTGCAGGAAAAAAAAAATCGCTGTAAACAGAGCACGGTGCCAAGGCAGGGCCAGCATCCTGCTCCAACTGTTACCACTCCCATGTGGAAATAACAGAGCTGTGCCTATTTTTTCACGATGCAGATCTACAAAAGGCGATATTACTACAAATAAATCTCAACAGGTTCCCAGGGTGAGCATTAAGGGGTGTCTGGAGCACATCCCCCACAAAAAAAAAAACCCAATCCAAACCAAACACATCTGAGTTCTGCCGCCCACAGTTTCCTTCCCTCTCTTTTCCCACTGGTATTGCACATCTCCATGACTGACCTGCCACTTCTTTCAGCTCCAGCTGAGCCTCCTTTCTTTCCCGTGGCCCTTCTCCAACCCAAATGGTGCACCAGACCTTCTCCCACCATCACCACGACTCCTCCCGCTCCAGCTCCAGCTGCCACGCTCCGGGCACACAACACCGTTACTTCCCCACACAATAAGCTTCCCCTTCCAAGACCATTTCAGTCCGGGATTTTCCCCCAAATGTAAATATTCTGGGTGAAAGCCTGCAAGAGGAGAGTCCAGAAGTCCCCAGAGCAAGAAAAATCTAATTTCCACGTTGGCAAGACTGAACAGCAAGAACACAAAATGTGTGGCAGCTTCAGCAGCTGAGACAGGTGAACGTGTTCCCTCCCCCCTTTCCAAGGGTGTTTGCATGCTCCCACAAAAATGGAAATTCCAGTAAGTTGACAAAGCCCTGTGAATAACACTGTATTTTAAAAGCATAATAAAAAAAATACAGAACCTAAAAAAGCCTTTCTTGTTCTCTCCTTTCCCTATACAATTTATAGAGAGAGATGATAAAAACAGAGATACTGCAAAACCTGCATTCAGAAAGAATATTCCTAAAATCTTTTAAGAGTCAGGAACACTTCAATATCCCACATGTCCTTATTTTTACTATGCCATTATATGAGGATTCTTTATTTAACAGAAATACACTTATTTTGGCCATGCTGGAATTGCTCAGTTTTTAAATGCTTACAATAATTCTCCCTGTAACAATCCTTTTCCAGGAAGGCTGTAAATGTTTTCCTTACCTCGAAGTGTGAATTGGTAATTGCCACGTTACTTTTGACCACATGACATCAAATTAATCATAAATTCAAATTTCCACCATCTTTCAGAGAGCAAGTTTCTGCACACCAACTCCTTCCGACCCCAAGCTCCACTGATCCACCACCAGAAGTTGAACAGGTCAGAAGTTTGGTCAAATATTAAAATTCTAAATTAAATTACGTCACTGAAATTTTTACTCAGGTAAACACGTAGAGAATATAGGTTTGAGGAACATTTGAAATATTTTAGTCTAAGAAATTTTGCTCATTAATTACTTAGTGAACAAAACCCCAGATAAGGCTTGTATGTAAATGGAAGTAGCACAAATGTATGCAAGATTTCATGTAGTATGTGCTATAATGTTATTTTATTGTCATATAATAATTATCTATTGTTATAAGAATACGTATTATTATTATTATATAATATTAAATTACTATCTCTATCAGATAAAAGTATCCTCTTAATATATTGGGGAATGGAGTTTACATTTTCACTTTGGATATAATTTAAAAGAGAAATTGAATTCCACATTTAAAAAACATAGTTAGTACTTAGTTGAAGAAAAAAAACTGTAAAACTTGCCCAAAAAATTAAGTAAAATATTATTTTAAAATATGTAATTGTGGCAAGGAGATTTCCTAGCGATTCTACATCTTTATGTTCTAATGAGAAATGCCATAAAACTTCAGCAAATGCACTATGAAATGTATAGAAATTAAAAGTACTAATTCCTGCAGAAAGCAGGGCTTTACATGCCACATTAACTAGGGAACAGCAGGACACGTGCATCATTTATTCCCTTTGAAGAACATACATTTTAATTCATATTTTTAGACAGCACAGGGGATCCTAATGAATCATTCCAGTGGAACATTTTCATACATAAAAAAGCTTTCACAGATTAACCTCGCAAAATTGAAGTGCTGACACTCACCTAAAATCCATTAAAGTAAGTTTTTGCATCTCAGTTTATGCAGCATCGGATGCAACAAAGCGAGTTAAAAATAAACGGAATGAAAGCAGTGAGGATTTTTTTAACCAAAAAGAGCCTATTTTGATGTGGTACAGAGCCTGAGAACTTGACAGTGGATATTTAGTGCCACTGTTTTCCAGGGATTCTGACCTACTGGAAGAATGCAGGTGTTCCTGGGAAGAAGAGGAAAGGCAGGAGGGAAGGCAAGCGTGTTAGTACCCGTGGTCTGGCCTTCCACGTACAAAGCACATGCAGCACATCACCTGCCTCCTCAACACCCCACGGATTCGTGGCCAAAGCCAAGCACACAGGGCATGTGGACACGGCACAGGGAGAAGAGAGAGACACCGAGACAGTATAAACAGCTGGCACAAAGACACGGACAGCAAAACCAAAGCGCTGGAATCTTCCCCACTGTGGAGCACACGCCGCCGACCGCGTGCCTCTGAGCAGGAGGAAGCTGTGGAGCCTGTGGGAACTGGGATAAGGGTGCTTTAGGATACCTTTATGGGTTTTCACGGATATCTTTGTGCTGACATTCTGAGCAGCTGACAAAGGGCAGGGAGCCAAGACAATGAGAAGCCTCTAAAATTAGGCCCTTCCGCCCACATCGGGCAAATCCCGTTCTTTCGGATTCATTCGCAACTGTGCATCAACCTTTGGGGATGAGCAGGGAAGGGAACACACCCTGACCTCTTAAAATCCAAAACATCCCTTACAGTCACCTCTGTCAACTTGTCTAAAACAAGTATCTAAATAGTGAACAGGAAATAGGTGAATTCAATGCTGCCATTCCACAGGCCAGATGGACTGTTTCTGTATGACATGCTTGGGAGCATGTGCAATATCTGCCTGCAGTGTATTATTACCATTTTAGGTCTCTTTACCATGAGATTTTAGGCACTTATTGTGGAAGATTTGACCAGGGATGATTTACTGCACACCTGCATGAGAGGCAACTTTTTCCATCAGTAGTAGTTTTTAAAAAATAAAAAAATAAAAAAAAAATAGCAAGAAAGATATCATTTCACAAATAATCAGAAATTGAAATCATAATCACATACAGTTAGACAACAACAGTGATTATTTTCTTAGCTTATGAAGCAACACACGGTTGATGTAATTAATAAGTAACTGCAGAGGTTGAATGAACCCCAAGGGTACCTGACTGTTACATCCTCTACTTTATTAAACAAAAACCCATGTCCAGCTCTAAATTCTGTATTCTAAACACCCCCTATTATTTCAAAATACAATATTACAGACTAAGTATTTAAAAACCAGCAGCTCTCAAGAGCAAACCCTGTGCAATTCAGTCTGAATAAAAGACCACGTTTTCCCAGGCGACTCCAAAATCCCATTTCAAACAATTAACCCTGCCCATAAAAAATTATGGGTTTTTCTTTTGTCCTGAAAGACTGTGAAATCAGCCATAAATAAAGAGCAGAGTGATGATGTGGCATTGCAAATAGCACAGCTGGGAGGAGGAAGCCAGTGAGAGTCACCTAATTCTCCATGGTTTGTCTGGGGAAGGGCGAGTGGCTGCTGGCACAGGGAAAGTTACCTGTTCCCAGCATTGCCTCTCAAATAAAAAGGGACTGAGCCCACTGAAGAAGTTTCCACAGGGACTGGCAGGGACATTTAGGAGTCAGGTTTAGCTGAACCCAAACCCTCTGCTTCCCCACAGCTATGCATCACACGTGTGGCACATGAAATTGGACCAGCTAACAGGTTTATTACCTAAAAAAGAGCAGTTTCATCAGCTTTTTCTTATATGATACAGGCAGATTATTCAGGAGACTAAAGGAAATAGTACTTCTGCCTCCTACTATCACCAACACCTGCTGTTCTTTAGTCTGATAGCATAGAAAACAGTCTACATAAAACAAACACAGAAAAAAAAAAAAAAAAAGGCGAGCAAGCAAAAAAATCCCAGTCCGCTCCCAAGGAGGGATAATATCATATTCAGGGAACAGAAAGACTCACCCTGGTTTTGGCATCGATCTGCCCTCCGCGATCCAACAAGAGCTTCACCATGTTTGTGTTTCCCCTTTTGGAAGCCACATGCAGGGGGGTGATTCCATTCTACACCATGAAAAGAACAAAGCATGAGCCGGATGGATTTTGGAGGTGTGTTAATGGGGGTGGAGTTTGGGATCGGATCACAACAAATGAGACCATCACATCGTAGAGAAGAAACGAAAACGTAGTTGAGCATCAGAGCTGGGCACACACCATACAAGCTAGAGTTAGTAATTCCTTTTCTAAGCAAGGCTCTTCTCTTCGTTGTTTTGGGGCCCTCGAATAAACGAAGCAGCGCATCTGCCCAAGCAGCAAACATGGCAGTCCTGGGGTCAGACACACAAAAACACACACCAGAGTCCCGAGGAGTCAATAGTCACAAAACACTGATGCCTCTGAATCACTGCAACGCACACAGAGTACACAAACGTGTCAGGGGCAGGGCCCTGTGCAGGCTGAGAGTCCTTGAGGACGCTTTGGGTGAGGCAAGAGGTTCTATCAGCAGCTACTCCAGGTTGGATATGGAAGGAAGACAGTGTGGAAGGCAGAACCCTAAAGTAATTCCAAGTGTGTCTGGCAAAATTAAACAGCAGATGTGTGATCCAGGAGCCAGGCTGAGGTTACCAGAGGTATCCAGGGCACACCAGATGCTGTACTTCCAACCACATAATATGCAACAGCAAAAGGACTGTGGTAGGTAGCTCTGCAGTCGTTTACCACAAAAGAGTTTATATAAGGGCAATATACCCTGCTTACCGTTTTCAAAATATGTTTCATATGTGAAAACACCAAATTAAAGTAGTATAGTGAATGCTGGATACTGGGAACAGCCAATCAATCCTACACCTGTTTCCAGAGTATGTCTAACAGACAGAAAAGCTGAAGTCAGTTGACACATTAGGAGAGTATCAGCTTTCTAAAGCTGGTCAAAGGAGCCTATTTCCTCCAGCTGGGAATTCTGGTCACTACACAACTCCCAAGGCCTCTGATGCATTGCACGGAGACAACCTTTAAAAATTACTGCAAAAAAAGACAACTTTGACCACAACAGTATTTCAGCCTTACTTTGCTCCTCTCTTAACTCAGCCCTCGACTAAGAGTTACACAAAAGATCAGCCCACTTTCAGGCCACTCCAAGTGAGAAGATCAAGGAAAGAGTCCGTACCCTCGCCGTGAAGTCGACTGCAGCTCCTCGGTTCAGCAGCAGCGTGGCCACGTTGACGTTCCCGTAGTGTGCGGCGATGTGCAAAGGTGTAAAGCCACTCTGCAGAGGGAAACAGCCCTTGTTACACAACTCAGTTTATACAAGATCATCAACTCAACTACAGCTTGATTTTAAACCTGCTGGCAAACAAATGTATGGTGTCCATTTTACCTAGTTCACCTATATTATAAGCACAGTGTTTTCAGGGCAGTTTTCATGCTAAAGGTTATCAGAAGTACTTCAGTCTTTCATTCTCCAACTTAGTCTTTTGCATCTGCGGCCAGAAAGTAGCTTTCATCTTAGAAAATATTAATGTATTAGCCATTCTTGAAGAAAATAAAGGAAGTTTCCTTATTACAAACTGGAAGCAACATGGATCTTGTGGGCTGCATCTGTTTACTGGGTTTGGATAAACATCCACAAAGTTGCTGGTCTCTTATTTTACTGCTCTTAGAAACAGGGACAACATATTTCCCTCTGGGTTTTTTTCCCTTTTTTTTTTCAAAGCAGTAATTATTCAAAATGTAATTCAAGAATTTGGTTCACATGAGAAACTTAGTAGCACAGTGAAAGAATCATAATTATTTAAGTTTATGTATGATTTGGATCACAAAGGATCTGAAGAAACTTTGCCATCTATAAATGAGAAACAAAAACAATTTACTTATTGAGTTTAGAACACTAGAAGGTGAAACCAGCTCCAGCTACAACATACAAAATCGTTTGACAACAACAGATAAAAAGATTAAATTTTCAGAAAGTAGGACACAGAACAAGCTTTCAGCCTCATAACTAATTCAAGTAGAAAGGGCCTTGCTTTTGAGGTTTCCCTGAAGAGCTTTACACTGATTTGATTGGATCTCACTGATAGTTACAGAAAGAGAGAAATACTTCTGGCTTCTTCACTAGGGCACGTTTTATTCCTTTCAGTGGACAAACCACCATTTTAGACTAGTCATGGAACAAAGGAATGTAGGCACGTGTTGCCCCCCTTCAGCAGGCACTGCAGCAACACTTCCACGTTCACCACAGCGAGGAACATTCCCGTGGGTGGGTCAGATGCCAAGAGAAGCTGCCACCCTTCAACTCGCATCACCGGCTGCCTCCCGGCAACCTGCTCATGTGTGTGCACACACCAAGTGGGAAGTGCTTTCCCATGGGTGCACCCATTCATAATTCATTCCCTGCTCTGACAGGAAAAACTCCATTATTCAAAAAGCAGGCTTTCAAATACCAACTGCATTCTCGGAAATCATTCTTTTCTCCTAATTTCGATATTAATCTTTCGGGGAGAAATCCCCGTTCAAGCCAATCGGAGCCACGATTTTTTAGTGGAAGTGTTTGGAGAGTTGGTATTTCCAAAAGCCATGTGAGAAATGTATTATTTACCGCAGGTAAATTCTGATTGTGTGCTATCCCTTAGAGCTTTGCAGAACTTTACGGAAAAGATCATAATGAGAACAAGGGTAAAAATAAGCAGATGCCCTGCTTTTACCTTGGGGAATTTGATTACATTTATCATTGGAAAAGATGGAAAATTAATTTTACTATTATTCCGGCTGAGCCAGACACCTTGATTTAGTTAAGCCAAGTGAGTGCATTTTCATAATTAATGAAACTAAGCTAAAAAAGCATCTTTATCCTCTTAGCTCCATTACTCGCTTCAGACTTCTTTGAACTGATGTGAATTCTCAACAGTGTCCTTCACTAGTGACACAAATAAAAAGAAATTCTAAGACAAAGGATGAATAAAAATAGGTTTGCCAAGTCCCAAATTTCTATGTATTAAAGAAAGAGCCGTATCCTCGCTTTCAGTGCTAAATAATAAAGAAATATGGCCACAGAGCAGAGAAAATAATCATAAGTAACAGAAAGAGTAATTAAAAATTGTTTATCTCGGTACCTCAGTCGTCCTATTCACCATCATCTGATGCAGCGTGGTTTGGGAAAAAGAGGAACAATATTAAAGACTGGCCGCAAAACGAAGAACTATGTTGCTTTTTTTTGAAATGAGTTATGCTGTTAATTATGGGAAAAGCCATTCGAGCATGCATTAACTTTAAACACAACCCATACTCCCATGGGCAATAAACCCACAGGGAAGCAGCGATCCTGCCTCCATTCCAGTGCCTTCTGGTTTACAAATAACATGGAAAAAGCTGGTTACCAAAGAAATGGGAGGTGTGACTCAAAAGTTTAAAAAAAAAAAAAAATAATGAGCAGGTCGGAATTACTGCAAAATTAAATATCCTGCTGGTGGTAGCGGTGGAGGAACACGTCTCTCCATACCGAAGTTACCTTTGACAGCTGGGATGAAGGGATCCCAGGGGCCGCCCACCCCGTTACCTGCCCGGCCGCGCCGCATTACCTTGGACTGCACGTCGGCGTTGTGGTCATTCTGCAGCAGCAGCGCCGCCGACTTGGTGTCGTCCTTCCTGGCGGCGATGTGCAGGGCCGGCAGCCTCACCTTGCCCTTGGTGTCGTTCTCCAGCAGGATGGCCACCGCCTGGTTGTGCCCCTGCTGCAGCGCCACAGCCAGAGGAGTGAAGCCGTCCTGGGGGGAGAGGAAGCCAAGGCGCGCTCGGTAAGACGGAGGATGCGGAGCTTCCGTGACTCGCTGGCACGCAGGTATCTGAGACGCTCCTTGCCAGCTGTTTCCCACCTCTGCACCTCCGTCCCCATCAGCAGCACAACATTTTAACCCTTTTCAAACGTCTTCAAAAGGCTTTCAAACGTTTCAAATGCTTTCGAACATCTTTTCCCCCTTTGGTCTTTTTTTTTTTAAACTCAAGCGCAAGCAAAGCGTCATTCTACAGCATCTCTCTTTATTGCTTCCCACCTTAAAACAGGCCACAAAGCATATTTTCAGCAATTTTTTGCTAAATTTAGTGAGCACTGAACAAACTAGATGTGAAAAATATACAGGGAGTCTGTTTGTGAAAAGAAAGAGTATCTTTGGACACATTTGCTGCTGTTCCCCTTCCAAGTTACATGTGGACCTTGAGTCAAGAAAGCTCGACCATGTTTAGGAATTTATTCTAATTCGAAGGAGAAAAATACCAGATTATTTGTATCTTTTGGAAAAACAAAGAAAAATATCCCTGCTTGAAACTCCTAGTTTTAGCCCTGTTTTAAAATTAGTTTCAAATTGTCTTGCTCCTCCACACATGCTTGGGCTGGCCAGTGCTTTTAAAACGCATCCCATGATCACAGCCTGCTCCTCCTGGCTGAAGTACTGCCTGCTCCCAAATATTTCATTCTGATTTGAAACCGAACCTCGCTCTGGTCACGCACTCTCCCCAAGCACAGGTGTGCTGTAACCACATGAGAGACGGGACAGAAATGCTTTGGAACAGGAATATGGAAAGAGGGTAAGATAATAAAGGCCAAGTTAGGAAGGAACAAGAGCTGACATATGCTGAAAGAAACATCTGAGGAATTGCCAAAGCCATTTTTCCCCTTAGTAATCTAATAACTTCTGTGTTGAACGGCGGGTAGGTGTGTGTTGTAACAGTGATACTGCCGTGGTTTCTGCCTGTAACAGAGATTAAATTCTGTGCAGGGAATTAAAAAGAGGTGAACAGCTGATGAAACAGCTGAACTGTAAAGATAATTCTGAGATTGGGGCTACATAAGGTGTTGAAATGGCTTAATGCATTTGCCTTTCGCCTCTGGGAACATGAGAACAAATCCTGGATTAGAGGCCCTGTGAAACTGAGCTCATCCTTACCCTCCTTTTGTATCCCTACGTATGTAAGCCTGGGAGGAAACGAAACGCATTCAAAGGCAGTGCAAGTGTCAAAGCTTCAAAGACAAGATCATCCATTTGATTTGCACCATTTCATCGTCCATCCTTCTCTAAAAGGACACCACTCTTTCTGCATTCCCTCTCCTATTGCTTCTGGAAAGCACGGCCGACCGGAGTTCGGAGAAGGATTTTCATTTCCTGGCCTGCCATGAGGAGCTCCTTCTCCATGTATTCCAGTGGCATTTGTCATGTGCCATTTCTTCATCCTGTTCACGAGATGAACTCTGGGAACGTGTGGAAACAGATGGTGGCTCAGGAACAGTCACAGAATCATGGAAACCATCACCTCAGCAAGACCTGAACCTAAAAGTGACCTAGGCCTGCAAGAAGGATGTCAACAGCCTTTACCTTCCAAACTACGAAGTGAGAACTGACCTTTCTCATGGCAGCAGACAAACCTGGAATCAGGTTCAGAGTGGGGATATTTTATTTCTTTCCTCCCCTCTGCCTTTTTTTATGAAGTCACACTATATAGTGACTTCTTCACATGAATTATAACCACCTCAGCCTCACAATGCCTGTAAACTGACTGAATTTCCAAGTGCACCCGATTATCCCAGCCAACAAAGTCACTGGGAGAAAGGCTGCCAGCAGGTGACTGTGAGCTCCTGGAGAGCCCCAGTTCCCCTCACCTCCCTCACAAGGAGTGTTTCTGCCACGTTGCCTGGCAATCCCACGGGATTTCATCCTTCAGAAAGCTGGCATGTAACGTGATCACCTCAGAGAGGATTATTTCAGGAGCTGTCACCAAATGGTAGTGTCCACTGAGAGAGGGGACAGTGAAACAGCTGGTAATGCTGACAGTTCTCTTCCAAGGGAAGGAGAGGGAGCATAAATGCACCAGCATTTCAAACTCATCCACCCGTGGGGTCAACCCAGAATGGCAACGTTTCTGGACAGACTGGGGAAAAGTAAGAAACATGAGGAAAACCTGTGAGTGGAAAGGAACTTTCCCATTGCTACTTCACATGGCACAAACAGGAAGGTGACACACTTTGCAGCACAGAGCCTGTTCACTCATCCCCTTGGCTTGGAATAAAAGAACACTTGGCAGAAAGAGAGCAAGAGGAAGGAACAGAATGAGCACAGTCCCCATGTTTTCCCCATTGCCCTTAAATCCTTCTTTAATTACTGTGCTTCAGTTCCTCCTGAGATGGAGTCTCATCTCTCCAACTTCAGCGGCTGCTCTGCTTGCACTGAAGTCACTGCAGGTTTACAAACCAGAACCCCAATTAACATCCTCTTTTCTGCCTTGACACCCACGTGGTCCAGCAGTAGAAATAAAGTTTCCATGGAGAAAACAGCACATGGCCTGCTGAGCTCATGGATGTGATCCCTGTCAGCCATTTGAATTCCAGCTTACACTGTTCACAGACAGTAATGAATACTCACAGGTTACACTAAGTCCCAGATGAGCTTCAGAACCAGAGGAACTTGGGGAAAGAGCAGCAGGAGGTTGGACTAAGTGACCTCCCAAATGGTTCTGTGAGCCCAGCACCACAGGGAACCTCCTCCACTCATCACTCCTGAGCTCATCTAAAATCCCAAGACCCTGCGCTGAGTTTATGGTTGGACTTGATGGTCTTAGAGATCTTTTCAAACCTAAACAATTCTATGATCCTAAAAGGAAGCTTTTTAACAACTACCTGTTGATATCAATTGGTTTTATACCATTTTACACCACACAGACGCCCTTTTAGACACAGCCCACACAGTCTTGACTTTAATCAATCTGAATATAAAGGCAAAGAAAAATATGAGACAAGAAAACCCCCCTCACCTCAGTAGCTGTGCTTTGGTTGGCTCCATTCTCCAGGAGATACTTCACCACCTCAATGTGGTTCTCTTGAGCTGCCATGTACAAAGGAGTAAAGCCATTCTAGGAAGAACACAGGAGAAAATATTCTGTTCAGGAAAGGGGAATACACCGACTATAACAAACCACAAAGAAACACACGGTTCAAAATGCATTTGTGGCTTTTTTTTCAACTGAAACACTCTAAGTGTGTAACAGAACAACTCTGCATTTGTAACTTTAGATGGTAACATTTAATGCCATTGAAACCCACGGAACTCTACGCGCTTTCTCACTCATTTTCTCCTGACACGTATTTTACGGAAGCGATGGCCGCAGTAATTATTAATACAGCTATTCCTTGCTGATAGTGCTCAGGGACTGCAAAGCTGCCTAGAAGGTTTTATGAAAGCTGACAGGAAAGCAAGAGTTTCCTCCACTTATTACATTTACTTGAGCAAAGACGTCATCCCCTGGAGCCCGTGAAGTCCATACCTCCTGACAAGCTCGGCAGAGACGGCAAAGCCTTAACATCCTACATCAAATTCTGTAATACATAAAACATGGCAAATCACCCACCACAAAGGAACTCAGCCTTGCAAAGGAACCACTGCGTTTCTGACCGTACAGCAGGTTCATCTCTCATTTAATTAAGAACATACATTAAAACGTTCTAAAGTTATTAAAAGAATTTGCTTCGGATAAAACAGTAATTAAAAAAATTCTTTTTAAGTTAATCAACCTACTTTGATTCAGGCAAATTCATTAGAAATTCAAGTCCTTTCTTCCCATTAAAATATTTTAATGCAAACAATTTCAATTTATTACCTACAAAATCCTGACAAAACAAAAGCATGGAAGTGAGCTGCCTGCCTGATTAATAATTTTTTTCTAAGAGATTTTAGGATTGCTCAAAAGAGCTTATAAAAATCTTCAATATTCTGTAGATAACTGAGTAACATGAGAGGACATAATCACCTACACTTCTGAAAACATTCTTCTGCCTTAGATTGGCACTTTTAGATAAAACAAACCCTAAACCAGACCTCGAGCATGCAATTTATTTGTAACTTATTTTATTATCTGGTGTGGTGTCACACTGAATGATAGGCTTTGTACATTCACACATGGGGTCAGAATTAATGCAGTGATAACTAACAACCTCGTTTCAGAGAAGCCAATATTGCTCCTTCTAAAAAACCTGCTGTGCAAACATTCCAGTAATTTCCTAATGAAATGAAATCTCATTTTTCAGTCACTAGATAACACAGAGATTGTAGAACTGATGTCTTTACAACCCCCCTCTGCGTTTACAAATGTAGAAGATTGTTCAGGCAATAAACATCATTTATGTTGTGGTTGTCATGTATGATATATGTCATATATGTTGTAGCAAGTCTTTTAATACTGCTTTGCATAATATTCCGATGTTTCCATCGACAATCTTGGGGCACAGAATTAAAAAATGGCACCCAGAGAACAGTTAACAGCAGTTCAATGCCAAGACTGGGGGGTGTCTTTTGAGCGGCTTTGCACAGGAATCAGTTATTATCCAATATTCTCAGAAATGACTCCGAGGAGGGAACAGAATCCTCTTCTTATAGTCACAGACAACATGTTCTACAAGTGCACCACAGGACCATCATTTGAAAGGTTCCTGCAACCCTGGAGAATTCATTTAGTAAGGACAAATACAAGTTTCTCTGCTACTGCAGGAAAAATAAACTATGCACATGGGGACTGATGAGTTAGAGAAGAATTCTGTAGGAAAGGACCTGAAGGTCACAGTGGTCTTCCAAAGCATCACTGGTCAAGGAGCTCATGCCGCAGATAATAAAGGCAATCCCCGCACTGGCACAAAAATCTATCTCCCCAAGGAAGGTATTTTTCTTTGAGAAAAGCCTAATAATTGGTGGTGTTCTGCCTGTAAAGGGCAAACAAGGAAAACAAGATAACGGTCCTTAAAGAGAAGGGTAAAGGTCTGTTCTGCCTGATCATGACGACTAAAATGAAAAAGCACAACGTTTACAAGGTTGCTGGAGGGAAAATTCGGGTTGGACATCAAGAAAAGCCTCTCAACAGGAAGGTCAGTCCCTCCTCCCAGATCCCTGCTCGAACCAGGCAGCAAACTGGATGCACACAGAGACAGGCTCTTCCATGGCCACCCTGGGGCAGGAGCAGGTGAGTCAGGGAGTGCTGGTCTGGCTGCTCCTCCGACAGCTCTTTAACAGAGAGGGAGTAAGAGGAGATGCCCTCGCTGCAGAAAATGTGGGAACGCCGTTCCCAGTGGAACTGGGAAGGTGCAGGGGCTCGCCAGGCACAGGCACGAGTTGGCAGTGGGAACTGGGAACACATTGGGTTCTTTTCCACTGCACTTGTGCAGAAAACACAGAGGAACCTGCAGGTAACCCAGTTGGCTCACTGTGGCCTTTTTCCTTCCCACTCCGGAAAGAAACAACATGGCAACCTATTAGGTAGAACTAAGAGTAATTTTCCACCCGCCTCATCAGCTTTTTAATATTAAAGTCTCATTTTCTACACGTAATACATGTCATTTGTAAAGTCCTTCTAGCACTGCATATTACAAGGATCACGCCAACTAATATAAATTGGGGGAATGTGATCATTTTCAAGCCAGAGTAAATCAATTTGCTTAAAAGCTTTGAAGAACGTATTTTTTTTTTTTTTAATCAAGTCCCAGGTTCTGGAACAGAATTAGGACTATAAATCCCGGATTAGGAGACCATAAACAATGGATATATGTGACTTCATGACGGTTTAGCACCAAGAAGTACTAAATGTTTTTCCATGCAGAGATCCAGAGGAGTGCCCATCATATCATACCTGTGCTAGAATCACACCTGAAACTGCAGCAATCAGGGGTGAGGAAATTCTTCCACATAAGATCACAGTATCTTTTTTTTTTTTCTCTTCAGGCTTTAATTATAGTCTAAAACTACTGTATATATTTCCTTGAAATCCAGCTCATTTTGGGAATTACAACAACATGGGAAGATCTGCACGCAAAGCTACCAATATGCTGGAAAAAAGTCTGCTTTCTCAGGCTGCTTTCAGTGAAGCTCTGGTTTCAGAGCTTCTAATTGCAGCGTCCCTGACCTCAACACTCCTCTGGCCCTCGGCCAGAGAACTCCTATTTTAGGATTCCCAACATGCCTGCCCTCCAGGGCAGAGCTGTGCCCAGTGGGATTGCCTGTTAGCCCTGCTGGAGCTCTTCCTTCTCACCTGGCCACTGGACCCCAGGAGTCCCGTGCATCCTCCCAGTCTGCCTGGCTTCTGGGATGTGTCAGTCTGTCTGTCTGTCTGTCTCCTACACAGCAAGTGTCTGCCTCTACCAGACAGCCCTGTGGCTGAATGGGAATGCCCACACAAAAGCAGATCGTTCCTGAAGTTTCCTTTCCTCCGGTCAGTTTAAAATCCCTTTTTCCCAGTTCCTCATCACTTAGTTTCCAAGAGCTATATTGCCAACACTTGACTTCTCTGTTCTGTTTCCAGAGATTCTTCAAAGCTGGGGATCCCAGATCCCTCCAAACTGAACGAAACATGTTTTCCCTTGGCTTTTGTTTCACTTTCCCAAAGTGTTTTCCACCAAATCCACGACATTTGTTATGGATTAGTGATTCTGCATGGAAGTACAGCAAGGGAGACTGACCTCTCCTCTCAGCATGTGGAGTGGTACAGAGAGGGTTTATTGGGCCAGGGGTGGGGAATTATTACTTCAATAAATTTCCCTTCCGTTTACAGCCCTGTACTGCAAAAATACAGTCCAGAATTAAAGTAAAAATATTGACTGTGACCTGGAAAAGGAGAAGTGAATTGTAATGGGCAATCATGTTACATTTGTGTGCTTACATTCTTTGCATCTTCTGAAAAACTGAAATTAATTGTGTAATGATATGTAACATTCACTTCCAAACAATGGGTTCATCAGAGTATTTGTAGTGAGGACAGAGTACTCCGATTTCATTATCCTCCCAAATGTGAACTGCAAGATGTTTACTGCTATAATATAAAGTCAGAATGAGAAATTATCACTAAACAGAGTATATTTCATACCCCCTTCTTTCCACTACATTCACTGATTTAGTGGCTAATTGGAGAAAATGAGTAGCTCTCAATGATTCTTCAAGCTATTAATGCAAATTGGCAACTCTATCTATGACTCAGAGTTTGTATCATTAAATTTTGCCCGAGCCCTAATGAAGAACACAGGCTGAAGGAGCAGAGGGATTATTAGAACATTGAGAAAATCATGCAGTTCTGTAGCTTGGTGGAGCTTTATTCCATGGTAGGCTTTCAAGGAACTTGGGTTCCTCTTTGTATGCAGTGCTGAATTATCAGACTTCAGTATCCATATACCTACAGTATCTACATACATTATGTCCATATATACATATTCATACTGATAAGGAAAAAAGAGAAAAAAGAGAAACAGCATCTCTGCATTTTGCCTCTTTGAAGAGGATTCATAAGAGATAGCAACATCCCCTCTGATTAAATTTAAGTTGTTAATATAAACCCGGATGCACAAACCTATTTTATTTGAAAGGCCTCCAGGAACTGCTTAAAACTGTATCAGAAGATCACTGAGGTTCCCAGGACAGACAAGAAAAACTGGCACCTCATCCAATGGTTTACACACAAGTGCTCATTTCTACTTACCCAAAAAGAAGGGATAGTGACAAAAAGAATGAGACAAGGGCGAGACAAGCTTAGATTACTGCTCAAAAACAGCTCACATACGTATTATAAAACCTGTGTGATTCATGGTTATGTAGTAAAACACTGCTTTATGCAGTAAGATCATGATCATTTTGGGGGCCTTCAAGAACTGTTTCAGGATTTTTTTCTGCTCTTCCAGAACAGTAAGTTCCTGATCTAAATTGTTATTCAGTGACACACAAGATGACCCCCAGAGGCACCTTCCAAAAAGCCTCTAACGATCCAAGCAATAAATTAATTGTTATCAGTGAAATATGAGTGTGACAAGTAAATGTCTGCGAGCTAAATTCAGAGCAACCATCTCGACAGAATCACCAATATCACAGTTCTGGGAATTCTGATGT